CATGAAAAAAGGGGGGTTTTCCGTGGAAAAATTGAAACACAATCAACACCCCACAGCCCAAACGGTAAAAGCTAGGAAACTGAAATTTGGGTTTAAGTATCCTATCATGGTGTAGATGCGCACTAAGAAGGGATTTTGGAAATGAATTCGAGCTCCAAAGGAAGGAAAAGTAGCTCCAAAGTTTGTTTGAAAATTCTGCATTTTTGAATCGATCAACTTTAAATTTAGGTTTTATAATCTATAAAAGAATACAAAATTTGTGTTGTTTGTGTTGTTCAAAATTTGTGTTGGAGCTTGAATTATTGGGGTTTTAATATTTATTCATTTTTTCAAATGAAAAGTTTGTGTTATAAATTTTGTCAGATCGATTTCAAATTTGGGTAATATAATCTACGTAACTAAAATTACAACTTTGCATTTAACGATTTTTAAAATATGCATTTTACAAATGCAGGTAGAACAAACAATACAAAATATCAAACAGTTGGGGACAACTAAGTATACATACACACACACACACATACATACATACAAACAGCTGTTCGTGTAGTTGCGTGTAAACGGTTGAAGTAGCCAAAGCAAAATGTGAGACACTAATGTGTGAATGTTCATTTGTACACATGTATGTACATACATACATACATATGTATGTACAAAAGTACATTCGTCTTGCACTGACAGGGCAAGAAATGTTAATTAATTAAAAATTATTAACATTATAACATAAACATTTTTATGCTATTTTTTCTTTGTTTAGTACATTTGGCATAAGGAGTTTTTAGGACAACGGACTACAAGGGCGTACGCAGGTTGGGCAGGGGGGACATTTCTCCCCTTAGAAAGAATTTCGCATTATGAATTACGCCAGCACCATATGTATTACATACGTACATACGTCTGTATGTATAGCATGTACATATGTATGTATGTACATCAATAAGTATGTATGTACGTTCATACATTCCTATATATGTACATACATATATAGGTTTGTATGTACAAGTATGCAGTGGGCTATCGAACACTGTTGTTTAATTGTAAAAAATAGTTTTCTATGGTTTCAAATCAAAATTTTTAAAACAACAACAACAACTTCAAGTTATTGGCTCGCAAATCTTCTTTCGTTTTGATCATTTACGCCTTTTCATTACATACGCAAAATGCCAAAAGTTTACAGTTACCGTACACATACAAATAAATTTGTATGTATGTATGTGTACAGTGTACAATCGAATACAGTATTATAATCAATAACTCTCAAACGATGTTTTTCGATGTATTTGTATTCGACATGTATTACGATATATCAACACAAGTATCGATATTTTCGATATATCGCATTTAATTTTATTATTGGGGTTTTAATATTTATTCACTTTTTCAAATGAATAGTTTGTGTTATAAATTTTGTCCGATCGATTTCAAATTTGGGTAATGTAATCAACATAACTATATCAACAAATTGGCATTCAACGATTAAAATATAGCAATATGTTTTTTACTTGCCATATATCAAATATCAAATAGTTGGGAACAGTTCGTGTCTATGTGTGCCCATGCATACATACATATGTACAAGCATATGTATCTATGCCTGTATATGTATGAAGCATGTAAATACAAAACAACAACAACAACTTCAAGTTGTTGGCTCGCTCATCTTCTTTCGTTTTGACCATTTAATGTTAATTGCAAAGGCAAAACGCCAAAAGTTTACAGTTACCGTCGCTAAGCAACGACTGCGTATGCGATAGTAAAGCAGAAACCGAATAACGGAGCTACGCATATTCTGCTTCGCATTGCGGGCAGATGTATGTATGTATATGATTTGTTCTTATCGATCTCAATAAATAATTAGATTTTATTATTTAAATATTCTGCTTATTGCATTCAAACTTCGATATTTTGATGGTATCGGTGGCTTCAACTATCGAAAGTTTTACTCTAGCAAATTGAGATGAGAATTGACAGTGCTTTTTGATCGTGGCTCATCGCTGTACGGCATTGACACGAGTGCCGTGTTTCATATTCCGAGTTTGTGCGTGACCGTATTGACTCAAATGTGAATTTAAAATTAGGATATACCCTTATAATTATTCCCCTTTTTTGCACATAGTCTATCTTAAAACGTTGCGTTATCTCTATATATAAAACAGTTTGTCCTGACTAATTGGTGATCAACGCACAGCCCAAACGGTAAAAGATGAAATTTGGACTCAAGTATCCTTTCATAGTATCCATCATAGCGTAGGAGCACACTAAGGAAGGCTTTTGGAAAATTCTAACTCCAAAGGGGGGAGGTTTAAAAAAATATTAGTTATAGTGGTCATGTTCGTTTAAAGAAATAGTTTGGCAAGAACAAAAATGTAACGGACTACTGAACAATTTTTTGTCAAGAACAGAAAATGTTCATTTAAATACCTTAAATGCCTTCCTACTGGTAACTTATAAGGTGAAAACATATGGGTAAGTTATGCACACACAAAATAAATACAATTGGAAACATTATATTGAGCCGGGTTAAGACGGGCAATACCTGCTAGTAGTTTAATATTACTGTAAATATTGCAAGGAAAGTGTTGTTGTTTGTATCTCTTTATTATCTATTTTGATGCTCTTTCAAACGATATTCGAATTTTTTTTATATCTCAACTCCTGAAGAAACGGGTGCGGCTATAGTTACGCACCGTTGTCAAATTATACAGCATTTAAATCCAAAAACTACTACTCCAGAATGCCATAATCTAAATATGTACATACATATGTATGTATATGTATATCAGTGTTGCCAGCACCTAGCCACAAAATAAGGACAAAGAAACATAAAAAAGCTGAAAAAAGGGATTGCAAAATTTAAAAAGGACAGAAAAACAGGACAGCTAGTTTTTTCATATTAATTTTGCCTTTTATTATTTGGAATGTCAGGGCGTCGTTACAGAAAATTATTATTATTATTAATTCGTCAATTATAGCATCATTGACGTCTGCATCATTGTCGTATTTAAGATATTTTTCTGGAAGTTTATCGTACTGCAGCATGCACCATACCGACGTAACCCGAATCTAGTAAATGGTTAACATTAATTAAATACATATGTATCTACTTAACATCTAAATGTTACCTGACAAGCTTTGTTTTTATCAAATTGAATTGGCTGAACACATGCTTAACTTCCGTATTTGACCAATGCAATGACAACAAAGTAAGGGCAAATGATGCCAACTCTAAAATTGATAATTGCCTGCTGTGTCCATATTCGATTTTACTTCCGACCAATACATAACGGTGCTGTCAACATTTTGCCATTTTATAAGGTGTATGTTATTATACTGTAAAAAGATTTTTTCTATATCATCGTTGTTGATTTTAAACAACTCGAAAATTAAAAGAATAGGCTCTTTGATTGTTCGCAATACTTTTTCGACCGAAAACTTATCAATATTTTTTTATATTTCGAAGTTTTCCGGTAACCTTAAATTTAAGAAGACTTATTATAAACTGTTATATTGAGGTATAAACAACAGCAATTCCCATACCTTTGGTTCAGCTGATTAATTAATTCGGTTACAAAAACTGTGCAATTCAATCGGATATTATTTTCACTGATATCATCGATCTTATCCTTCATTTTTTTTTTTTTTTAGTTTTGATTCAAATTCATATCCTAAGTATACATCCTTTTTTATGTGCATTTCAAAATCGTCTGCAAAAATGTCTAATTCGACATCGGGCGGAATAATTTTTAATTTAAGTGAGTGAATTAAATATTATTTACACAAATTCCACCTTTAAAAAAAAAGGCTGAAATATGTTGTCAGCCCAAAAAAAGGATAGATTTCCGGATAGGGGCTGTTTGATATTTTTTCAGGGTGAAGCAATTTTTAAAAGAACAAATCTATCCGGAAAAAGGCTGAAATGGCAATACTGGCGTATATATTTGTGTGTTTCTGAATGTACATATTTATGTATACTTAGTATATTTATGTGGGTATATAAAATAGTTTTTATGATAGAGCTGTAATTTTCAGCCCATTATTTTCATTTGGGCTTCATTAGGTTTTTATTGAGTCCTGAATTGTTGAAAAACGGGGGAAATAAACTACATATGTATGTATGTACATATATATATGTACATACATACTAAAAACATACATGCGTAAGCATTTCGTATGTATACATACATGTATACATAATACATATAAATGTATACTGTATGTAGTATTTATAAGTTAACCGAAAAAGTTGTCCGTTAGTTATTGTAGAAAATATCAAGCAGAGCACACATGCCTATGAAACCGGTAAACAATCTTATGAATTGAATATTCATGTAAATGCGTACATACATACATACAAATACATATTAATGTGTATTTATTTATGTATTTATGTATATATTTTCTATGAGTACATACGTATGTAGTATATATGATGTCGTCACCGAAACAAGGCAGATAACACGCTGATTTCTATCTAAACGGTAACAGGTGCACAGCAATCTGGAGCAGGCCCCATGCGATTCGAGATAAAAATCATTGATAAGAATCGCCGCCCACCGCCCCTTCTCCATTCCAATGGACAGTGCGATGGGTGTGCAAGTGAGTGAGCAAGTAAAGCTCGAACGTAGACGTGTGTGTGGGAAAGAGAGCTTGAACGACAGCCAGGAAAGCTTCGGCTCGAGTTTCAATTTATTTAATTTACCGTTATAGTTACAATTGGCAACGGCAGCAACAACAGCATCATATTATCGTATAGCCGCCGTCGACGTCTTCTAGTCATTTGCTGGGACCGAAGAAACCCGCAATGTCCGGCTGCAACAGATAAACAATCCCCACATTACGCTGATAGTGCTTTTTTTCATCCTGCTGGTTCGGACAGACAAGAGAGAGTGCAAGCGATCTCTATCTGTCAGAGACGAAATTGAGCTTGCACTTGCGCTTTTACTCGGTCTCTCAATCGCTCGGCGACTCAGTCGCCCGGTCGCTTATTTAAATCAGTTGTTTTTTGTTGTGGACGCGCCTGCATGTGTATCGGCATTCCCATTTCCCTGGTCAGTGATAACTTTAAAGTGTGATGTGTGTTTGTTTTTGTTGCTGTTGTTGCATGCAAATTTCTTTGTCTTGAGCGGTGGGTGGCTTGTGAAAAATTAGTAGTCCAATGTATCGTCACAATGCGGAGAGTTCATTTTGCTTCATAAATCGCTTAAATGGCGCACCCAACGATGAACTGCAACAGACGGGCGAGCACGAGCCCACTTCGGCACTTCTCAGCTACTGCAAGCATAAGGTAAGTTCTGCGTGTTTATAGCCATGCATTGGTCTGCATAAGCTTCGATCTTTGCAGTTCCTGCGTCCCTATACGTTAATACTCTCAGTAGTAGGACTCAACCCCATCTCCACCGATATGAGCCCTGTGCGCGCCTGTTGCAGCTATGTCCAGGCCCTAGTGGTGCTATGTGTCCTACTTCTTGGCTACCTGTTGCGCTATTTGTGCGGCTATCGGTTTGTATTTTATTTTGTAACTTCCATTATTTACTTTTAAACTTATTGATAATTCAATCTTTTCCAGCGGCGATCGTGGCTTTAACAGCTACCGTGATATACGTCCCTACAGCTTAGAGAGTAGTGATGGCGCCAATGCAACCACCAACACTATTGGCGAACTTCTATTTGGATATGTGGTGCCGAGCTCACTCAATCTCCTGGGTTTCGGAGCGGCTGTTTTCATCTGTAAAATTGTCGATCATGAGCAATTGCAGAATCTGATTGAGCGCGTATTCCTCATGTCCGCCAAGCCAAAGCGTTTGTGCCGCATGCTCTGGCTGTTCCTAGGAGTAGCATTTGCCCTCCTACTGCTGCTTTTTGCGTACGCCTGCTGTGTGGTGCTTATGCAGCCCGAGCAAATTATCAAAGTGGCCTGGCTGGCAGCAATGCTGCAGGAATGGGAAGCATGCCTACGCGCAAGCTTGCTGTGCACCATCCTTCTACAGAATCTAGTAGAGGTGATCATTCTGAGCAGTTATTACATTGAATGCTACTTGCTGCGCGTGCACCTACAGGCGTTGTCGCACAAGCTGTTAATGCACTCCATTGACTCGCTTGACTGGATGCGCGAAGTGCTGGAGTTTCGAAAGCTACTGGAGCGGCTAAACCAGCATGTGGCCATACCCGTTTGCTTTCTTATTGTTATGAATCTCGCCTACGCCTTTGCGGGTCTGGTCTACCTCTTTAAGGACTTTGATTTTCACTACTGTGCGCTCAAGTTGGTCCTGCTAAACATTGCCAATGTGATGCTGTGGTTATTCCTTGGCCTGCTGCCGTTCTTCGTGGCCGCATCCGTCACGCGCGTCTGCCAGAGTGCACAAGCCAATGGCCATCAGATACGCGTGCGCCCTTTCGTCTATCACAACACTTCGGCAGAGGATCTCAACTCGACACTTTTGTTCGCCTCCTCTCTAGATATGTCAGCAAAGCTCTTCCGCATGCCCATACAACCCAACTACCTATGCTTTGCAATTCTCGTTGTGGCCTTGGTTATCCTGACGTTAGGAATGTGCCTCAATCTGACAGCGCTGGGCAAGATCTAAGCCATTATATATTGTTGATAGATTCATTAATATTGATATAAATATTAGTATCATTATATTAATAATGAATCAATATCAAATCAAAAGCCTTTCAGGTACTTACATACATATCTACTAAAATTAAGTTTCTACGAAAGACCAATTCCTAAATACATATCAACAATACTATTAGGATTAGAAGAAATAATTGACTAAACATGTGTCTAGCTTACAACTTGGGGCTTGTAATTTATTTACAACTTTTGGCTTAATGCTTTGTGTGTCGCCAACGTAGTGGCTGGATTGCTTGCATCTAGGAATTAGCTACTTATATACGTTTTAGTCTCAGTTTCAGTTTGCTGCCCTATAAACTAGGTGACGTCATTGTAAGGTGCACCATGTACAATTACATAAATAGAACATAATACCAACTATGATTAAAGTTCAAGGCAGACGTTGACTCAGCTTGCACTTTGGTTTCAGTTTGACTGCACCGCTCACTGGCTCACCAGCCCAGCCAAGGCGGATGATTGATTTTCGATGGTGGAGTAAATGTTAAATTCACCGGTATGTTGATCAACGCATGCACACGGTTCAGCTTCTGGAGCGTCGAGCGTATAATGATACCATTCTTTCCAAGCAGAAAGCCAGCAGGTATTTGTGTATCCCGATTTGATTTGTCGTGTATCATCTCGATGTAGTGCTCGAATTCCGGGGAATTTGAGTTGTACTCCGTAATAATAGCGCCCACCGCTCCAGCAGCCTCTGCCTGCGCGGTTTTGGCCAAGAATGAGCACTCGCTATAAATGAATTGTAATTAATGTGTGCTTAACTTATATAAATATTTAAAAGCATAGTGTCCGTAGACGACGTTAGCTCACCCCCTGTCCATGAGCGCAATACTGCCTCGCAAATCCCGCGCATTGCGAATCTTGCCGCACGCACTTGGCGGATCAGCCAGCACCAGGGGCACGCCCTCCAACTTTTGTGAGAAGGCCACACCGAAGTCCTTGGCCGGTCGCAGCCTGTAGGTGTACTCCAAATCTTGTGGCTCGATAATTTCAAAAAACACGTCACCAGCAATAATGTCCTGCGTAGTGATGGGTATAGAGATGGTGGACGTGGACGATACTTGTGTAAAGCATTGGGTCAGAATGATGGCGCTAATAACAACAAACACATTTAACATTTTGCACACATAACTATTCTATGTCGTTGCACTTGCGGCTTTTTTTCATAAAGAACTTTAAGCAAAGTGCACAAGTAAATGCAGCTCTGATAAAGTATGTCTGATTGCCGGACTGCCAAAAAATGTGCAATGTTTTGATTTTCGTGTTCATTTAGAAGTTGTCAACAGTGTTGCCAGTTTAAGATGTTGAGCAAATCTAGCAATTTCAAAAGCTTTAAAGCTCTTAAAAGCTTACTCTTAGATAACTATTTGAATTGTGTTAATTTCTATTTAATCATTTAACTTGATACATATATAATTTAATACGTTTCACCTTTTCTTATTGAATTTTATAATTCAAATTTTACATGTATTTTGCATCTTTAAATATTACGTTATGTGTCTTGCTATAGGAATCCACTCCACCTCGTCTATTCATCATATACATATGTATGTACATACATACATACATATGTACATACAATGTTTCTTTATACATCCATATGTATGTAAGGTAGCACCGATAGAAGAACACCATTAAGCAATGAAGCAGGACAGCAGCTACGAAGCCAGCTGTCGGAGGGCTTGTGGTTTGGTTTTGTCAAAGGGGTAAGTCGAAAGGGGCAGAAGTCAGCTGGAAAGCAGCTAAATTTGCAACACTGTGAGAACAGCTTAACAGGATACGGCAGCACCACGCTTAAGGCACGTCTGGCCAGCAGCACAACGCACCTCGTGCAGGCGAATGCAACTCTGAGCGGCAACTGCATACTCGATACTAGCTGACGATACCATTGTACTAGTTTTGTGGTAGCCATCTTAACTTTTGGCGTCGAAAAAACGTCGAAAAAACGGATTTTCGCCAGTTTTTTGCATTTAGAGGAAGCAGTTTGAAGTGGTAGTGCACGCAACGTGTGTGTTGAGACTTGGAAGCGGTTCAATTCTACAGCGCGCTTATTTCCAGTACAGTACAATGTCAATGTCTGCCACGTGCTACAAGTGCAACCGGCCGGGCCACTTTGCCCGGGACTGCAGTCTTGGTGGCGGCGGCCCTGGTGGTGGAGGAGGCGGCATGCGCGACGGTGGTGGTGGTGGCGGCATGCGCCGCAATCGTGAGAAGTGCTACAAATGCAACCAATTTGGGCATTTTGCACGTGCCTGTCCAGAGGAGGCTGAGCGCTGCTACCGCTGCAACGGCATCGGGCATATCTCGAAGGACTGCACTCAAGCCGACAATCCAACGTGCTACAAGTGCAACAAACCAGGCCATTGGGTTCGCAACTGCCCAGAGGCAATCAACGAACGCGGAACGACCAATGTGTCGTGCTACAAGTGCAACCGCACCGGTCACATCTCGAAGAATTGCCCTGAGACGTCGAAGACTTGCTATGGTTGTGGCAAGAGCGGCCATCTGAGACGCGAATGCGATGAGAAAGGTGGACGGAACTAGAAGCTCGAATGCTACAATTACCGCCCTTCAACTTAATCATCGAAAAGAAAAAGTTACACAAAAATGAAAAATCAATTTGCTATAACATTCTCACAACCCAACAACCATGAGCAGCAGAATGCAGCCTAACCCTGCTAGCAACCAAGTCAAGATCAGTCCTAAACCAAATGATCTAGAAAAAGTTCCACAAGACCTACATATACTATACACACATACACATACAAAAACGCATACAACCTAACATACACATACAAGCACACATACACACACGACATAAAGAAGAGCAATCTATCTATCCATCATCTAACCACCACTCTTACAACATCTCTGATTCCAAGCTGAGCCTGCAGCGCGGTGCCAACGTTCCAAACCAGTAGAAGAGGCGAAAATTCGAGAAGGAGCACGACGGGGGGGTGCTGCGGCGGCGTCGTCTTTGCTGGCTTTTACCTTAATGTTAACATTAGTGTTAGCCCACAAAACGCTTTGCTGTGCAGCCATGCAGCGCACCGTCTGTGCAGCCCAGCCGATAAAGACACATCTGAGGAAGAAGACAACCAACAACGATGACGTCGTCGCAGCTAACTAAACTGCGACCCAATTTGTAAGATGAGACTAAACCCCAACAACAAAAACCACTTTATTATGAATATGCTGCAGAAGTGTTTTGAATTTACTATAACTACATACATATAACAAACAAAAAAATGAAAGAATGGAATGAAAACTATATAAGAATATATAATTACCTTAAAACGAAAAACACAAAAACGAAAGAAAAAAACTATAAAACATCCTATTAGGAGTTCCAACAAAGAAAAATACAACAAAAAGCAAAGAAGCAAGCCAGACGCGTTACTCCATCCAGCTGCTGCCGGCGAGCCTTAGGAATTATGTGTATGTGTACTACCTACATTTCACTATCATCAAACAAGACAAACTCGCCAGGCAAGATCTCGACCGGGGTAGCGAGCTAGCTAGCAGCAACAACAACATTAACATCAACGACAACAAACAATTATTGCAGTCAGTAGACGAAAGCTGGAGAGGATGAGGAAGCAAACTCAGATGTATACTTTCAGTTGAACGAGATAAAGCGAACTACGAAGAAGAAGAAAAATTCAAATATCACTGTGATTGTTTTTTAATTGTAAATTAAAATGCTGGAGCTGCTGATTTGAAACAAAAAAAATAACCCAAATCGCCTTTTGCATGCTCATTCCTTTTGTTTTCGGGTGGCTATAGCGGGAGAGCATCATCGAAATGCATTTTGCAAAACGTTCTCTTGGGTTGTATTCAGACCCCCCATTAAACGGGAACCAGTTTGCTTGCGAATCAGGTTCTGGTAGGCAGCCGGCAAATGTGTTCGTCTTTCTCCTGCTCCAACACCCCGACCAGCGAAGTACCAAGAACTAAGACAAACACATGGTGTGGCAGCTGATGTTCAAGCCAAAGTCGGAGCAAAATCAGCTTGGAGATGCATAAAGCAAGTTCTGCCCTCTGCTCATTGTTTCGTGTGCGCTTTCTTTTTCGCTTTGTTTCATTTTCTTCCTTGTGCACATTTTATGTACAAGTACGCACGCAGACACTCATCCATTGCGAAGTATGTATGTATGTGTGTATATTCGTACATACATATGTATGTATGTATATTTGTCGGGTTGGCGTGTGTTTCTTTAAACAAAGTACAGTCGTCGCCATGCGCTGCTAATGGTGAAAACTTGCAAGCGACAAACATATGTATGTACATATACATATATGCATGTATACTTCATACAAACATGTATAGGTGTGTTACGTCGCAAGCAGCAGGCTGGCAAAAACTTCAATTTAACCGCGTCTACCGTCCCCCCTTGCCAACGCCGCCGCGAGCGTCGCTCCGCCAGCTGCACTTAGCAACAAGTTTCGTGCGCCGCATCGGCACCGTGTTTCACGACTAACCATGTGGCCGGCTCCTCCGGCCGCCTTGCTTTTGCTTCTTGCATTGATTGAGGGTCAAGGTCAGTACGTTGTATCAGCTGCTGCGCATGTGCGACTCACAAAGAGCATCGAATGCAGGAAAGTTGTTCTTTTCGCATATGTGCGAACTTGTGAATTAATTCTTCTCTGTGTAGATATGAATATGGACCTTAATTACTAGATTCCACGGGAGTAGTTACATACATACATAGGTACATAAATATGTATGTATGTAAACACATAAACCGTTTACGGTGGCTCTTATCGTTCCTGTATTTATAGAAAATAAAGGTACACATGTACGAGTATGTATTTAATCGGATTTAAATTTGCTTTAATTTCGATAACCGAACATTTTTGGGAAATCAATTCATCCGCTTTATTAAGCTAAAGCTTTAAAGACTTCATATTCCTTTTATGCAAACAATTTCAAAATCCAAAGCTTTGACGATTAAAATAGTCCTCACTTTCTTGGATCATTCAAATAGTCTCGGTGTAATGTCCAATTTTGAATTTCCTCTCTCGCCGTGGTATTGCCAACGGAAATATAAAAACTTTTTAAAGGGGGCTAACTAATAACTTTATTAAATTGTAAACATAATTACACCTAATTCTGTTTTTACACGGTAGATTGGTTTCAGAAACAACCGTGTAAAATAGACATTGATCATATGCAAAAATAGATGATTGGTTCCTTGTCTCCGAAGAAATATATGTATATGCAAGTTTTAATTTTCAAATCGTGTTATATCAAAATCGTGTAAAAAAATGCCGTGTAAAAACAGAATTAGGTGAACAATGTATGGTAGTCCATATAGTGGCGAAAGCTACAACGAAAAAGATTTTGATTGGCTGCATCGATCGAGATGATCGATATGTCAATCAAAAGTTACTAAAACATACGTTTAGGGCTTGGATTCAGATTTGAAATAAGTTGACTATAACAGGATTTATCATAGATTGAATGAGTTTTTGGAAAATCGATTTTTAAAAAAATATGCGAAATTGCGCCGCTTAATGAATTATAAGACTTAAAAGAAATATTTTTAAGTGGTGAATGGGTTATTTATTGTGAATATTGAAATAAAATTCTGAAACATATGTACATATACGGGTATTTTTCCATTTGACTGCTGGATTCATAGTAATAGAACTAAACCCAATTAGTTCGTTGACATTGACATCCGAGATGTTTGACATAACATTGTTGTGTACCTTTTGGTACAAATTGAAGTCCGAAATTTTATGATTTTCTGTTCTACTTTGCACAATAAGTTGCTTATGTTCTTAAGAGGTTTATCTAAAAGTTTTAGCCATTTTCACTCTCTTTCCCATCAAAAACAGTTTTTTTTTTCCTTTGGTAACACTGACCCCAAAGTATATACATATGTTATCGATTAGATTGAAAAGACGAGTCGATATGAGTGCAACGATCGTGGCAAGTGTACGATCTATATTAATCGATCTTGGTATCCAGGTTCCTCTAAGCCGTAGATAGTTCAAGTTCCTTTTTTTTTTTGATATTCCCCCCTTTCCACGCTATAAGTGATTTTGTATAACTTCTGTAATTCTTGGAATTTTTATTCAAGTTACGTCAAGATATACATATGTATGTAATCTCTGTCCATGCTCTGCCAGTATTGAAGAATTAGTTCGTCTTGACTTGACATTCCATTATTGTTTTTACTTACTGTTGGCATACAAAAAAGTCCAGATTCTAATGGCAGAAGTATGTACAGTGAAAACTCCCTTAATGGACACCTCTTTTATCCGGACACTCTCTTCGGCGGACACTTTTTCTAAAAACATTCGATCGGTGTATAAAGTATTTAAGTATCCCCTTAACCGGACACTCCCCTTGGGCGGACAAAAATTGGCCGACCGTGAGTGTCCGGCCAAGAGAGTTTTCACTGTACAATGTATGATTTCGATGATACCAAATCGCAAAGTTTGCAAATTAATTTCCTTTATTTATGTTTTAAATGAAGCCAAGAATATGTCAGTACAATTGAGAAGCAACTGTCTAGAACTCATATTCGATTGTCTATGTTCAACTATGTTTACTTTTTTAGACTCCTATTTTCATAGTATGTAATATAATTAAATAGTCTACAGCATAGACATAGAATTTATTAATAAAACAACACAATTCCATCACATATGGAAATCAAATGAAACGATTTCAATGGGTGTTATTGTTTATTTTCTAAGTAACTTAACTTCGGACTAGGTTGCAATTAGCAAACAAGTCTAAAATTATGATAGATATAGAAGTATAACTCGAGAATAAGTACGCCCACAGCTCACAACATATCATATGTATATGTTAGTATGAGGTTAACATTGGTGATTAGATCTTAACAGCGCTAAAAGGTACGGTTGGACTAATCATTGCTAAACAAGAATGATATTACATAAACTCCATGTAGCGTACAATAATAAAGCCAGATATGTATACAATGTCAAGAGGGGAGAGCACATATCCAGATTGGCTAACAGCATTTACCATATGAAGTTTGGGACATGGGTAAATTCAAGAAACTTAATTATGTTGCATAAAATTATATATACTAGATAACCGGGATAATTATATGAAAAACTACGATTTAGTGCCTCCACAAGAACCAATAATATACGGTACAAGCTTGGCTTCTCCGAACGGCAATTCTTTATCAATCACCTCAATATTTAAAGAAAATTAGTAGTGTATCGCAGTTTAGGAAAAAATTAAATTTGTTCTTGAAAAATTAGTAACTAACAACATAAAATGTTTGAAATATAAAATAATCTATTAATTGAAACTCTAAATTGTATAAAATAGGTTAACTAGGTTAATTAAATCGTCTTAAATTTGTGCAATGAAAATTGTATGTTTCTTGTGACTAGTGGATTACTTCAAAAGAATTTTTTCTTGTTGCGCTAGGAAATAATAAGAACAAAAATAAAAATTCTGAGGCGTGCGTGTTCTACTCCTAAAAGCCCTGAATCCGCCCAAAAGAACTAACCGAAATAATATATTTTTAACACTGAATTGATAGCCTGAAAAGTAATGGGTTGGTCAATAAATCGCAAGTGAATTTATTTGTAACCTGCGTAAACGATAGGAAAATGAACGCCTTGAATGGCAGTAATTTATATTTAAGGCGTAGGCTGGTCACTATAGAATAAAAGTCGCCGCTTACTGTAAAATTTGTAGGATTTACATATGTATTTATTTATCAATTTAAGGATATTTCGATTTAAACTATGAGTTTAGGTTAATACAATAGTTGGAGTGAACCTGAAGTTACATACGTACATACATATATCACTTAACACTAAACGAGTTTTCAAATCTATGTACTTGTATATCAACTAGGCGAACTGCGCTTGGAACTCTAATAGAATCACAAAAACAAATACACATGCACTTTATAGCTAAACTTCCATCATTTTCATCATCCTTGCCATTCTCTACCAAAATAACATTAGAATTTAAACTAAAAAAACATGAGGTTACTTCTGTTCTTTGCCTTCGTTCTACACAATTTGACACATGGGCTATGGAGCAGGTCTGTGAAAGAGTAAAAGCCAAGCCAATTAAGCACCAAGAAACTGACTCTGGACCGATTATTAGGGAACTCGAGGCGCACTACTTCTCCGATTTGTTGCGCGTCTTGGCCTGACTAATTCCGCTCATTGCAGTCGCATGCGTTTTGTCTCCGCGCTTGCTGCTTCTTGGCAAGGTGGTGCAACTAGCAGACATGGATTTGTCCTGAAAGACAGTAGAATATAACGTTCAATAGATTATTTACACAAATCGTTGGAGTCACACATGTAACATGCTGGAAATGTAGTTAGTTGGTTAGTAGGACAAGCAAGAGTTGTGTCGGTCTTATTTATAAATGAATCTGAATATTCAAATGGAGACTTGTTCAAAATTTATATAGTAAGAGTTCCCTTCAAATTCTGTAACACTTCTAAAATGCTAAGCTCAACTACTTAATATTAAAAGACCGTGGTTACAATAACCAGAGCAACCCCTCCAAACTGTTTTGTTCTGTTCTCAACCAGTAAGTAGTCCTGTAAGAACTGTGGAACGGTTCTGCTCCGCCGCTAAAGCGTAAAGTACGGTCTAATCTAATTCCGCCATTAAGTGAACTTGTAGATTGTTTCTAAGGACAGTTGTTCGTCTCAAGTCACTTTATTGGGTGTGGGCCACAGAATATTTCAAGTCATTACAGTAAACATTTCCGCTTTATCACGAACTTGACTTAGTAACAGATCACCTAAGAATAATCGAGACGCATTTAAGAATTCGACTTGCACAACTCTCGGATAAACACAACACGGTAAGGAGCAGGCATTGAAGTTAGAGAGAGCAGGCGAGCGCCATTTAGCGATGACATAGCTATGGTTGGCTGTAATCACTTGGATGAAGTGCTAAACGATGGTATGACCGCTTACTTCGAGGGTTCCAAGTGCAGATCATATTTCCGTTTCTCTATTGTTTACTGCCACACCTTCGGCTACATCGTGTTCATTCTCATTCCCATGCTGATTAATTTTATTGCGGAGCACATTAGCTTTGATATTCTTGAATAGATTCCCGATACCTGATTTGCTAGGTGTGCTAGCACGCTCCGAGGTGGTCGACTTGTTGGATTGGAGGCTTATGGTATCGGGTTGTGGGCTGCGTGCTTTGGGACGTGGCGGTAAAGGTGGCGCAGGCGCTCGTCCTTTACTATGTTGGGCTTTGGGCCGCAACTCTGGACTATCTTTAAGGCTTGGCGATAGCTCAGGCTCGAGTTGAGCACGAAAACTGTGCTTGATCTCTTCGAGTGTGGCGCGAAGCTCGCGCGGCGTTACCGGTCGGTCTTTTGTGCCAGTGCTTTCTTGAAGAGTGCTGGATTCTGCAATAGTTGTGTCAATTGCTTTATCATCCAGTTTTTCCTGGCAGGACTCGGAATCTTTGTCCATTATATTTATCGTTGTTAGGCAGTCAATTGGCTCTGTCTTGTTTTCGGGTTCATCTACTATCGGTAAAGCCTCATAAAACTCCTGCTCTTGATCTTCATCTTCCTCCTCCGCCTCATCTCTTATACCCGTATCAAGGTAGACGACAATGCCGTCATCTTTGCCAGTTTCTAGAACGTCTTGATCTTTGACATATTCTGGCCCCTTATGGGTGCTCTGAAAGTAACGCTCATTTTCCAAATACACCTCGGCTCGCATATCGTCCAGCAACTGTGCGTCGGCCTTTTGTCGTTTTTTTAATTATCATTTCTATGAAAATATCTGTACATTATAATATAAGCCCATACATACCTCGTTCCGCTTCGATTTCAAGCGCGCCTTGGAAGCGTTTGTCATTGACGAAGTACGGCTCAGTCCACTGCCGACACCAGCATTGATGGGCTCAGCGCTAGAGTATCCGGAACTGATGTCACCTGTGGACCGTATGTTATAGCTGGAAAAATTGGCCGATAAGTAGAAAATAGGAATACAACAAATACTCTAACTAAATGCATCAAACGTTTGAAGGATTCGCTCATGGGATTTTTAACCTACTGTGTAGTTTATTTCAAACAAATAACTATTAATTTTATGTTAAGTTAGACATTTCGATGCATATTTTTTCTATATCATTTTTGATGCTTTGCTATAAGTTAGTCCGGATTTCGTATATGAAGCAGAATTAGAGCGAGTGAAATGAGTATCTGTCTTCTACGTTAATACGACGATATATTTTAAAGATACTCGATATTTACTGAAAGATGGCCGGAACTTCCGTAAGACTTTAAACATAGTGGCTTGAAATACTCACTTAAAATCGCCGCTGTTCTTTCCGGACGTAACATCGATCTCTGTAAAGTACATGCCCGTTGAATGGCGCGTGCTTACAGAGGCTGAGCGCCCCACAGCCGTGGGCTGACGTGGGCGCAGGAGTCGCGGTTGTGGACGTGTCGACATAGATGCGACGGACATGACCGCGTCCAGCTCGTCCTGCGTGCGGTGCACATCTGGCTCCGACAGATCGCTGAGACTGTAGCTGCGCTTAATGGTTTGCACCAAATTTCCGCCGCCCTGGAGGCGTGAAAGGGGCACAGAGAGAGCGAGTTTGTTTTAAGGGTAAAATATAACGATATACAATATTTTAATTTAAGCTTAGCTAACGAGTACAGTACAAAAGTAAATTAAAAATCAAAAGAACAATGGAGTGATGTTTACAAAATAAATATCGTGTATAGATGTGTATAAGTGTATCTATCTATATATGCGTAGGTGAGTACGTTGCGAGTGTGCGTTAAATTCAAGTGTTCGCATTTGTTAAATGCTGAGCATCAGTTGCCACTCCACTCCTCAATCCTCGTCCCCATCGACATCGACGTCCAAGTCGGGGGTTGGATCACGCAGCCTGCGTCGACCGCGAATGCCGCTGCTTGTTCCAACCTCAAGATTCGATTTGGATGCAGCGCGTGTGCCGCGCTTGTTGGTTGTTGTTGCTGCCCCTTTGCGCATTCTAGTCTTGCGGGAAGGAAGATCTCGCAGGCGCGCCGCTCCAGCATCGCTCTCATCCTCTTCTTTGATGATCAGGCCCTCCATGGGGTACTCCTCGTACTCCAACAGATCCGCATAGGTGTCGATTCCGTTCATCGACGTGGAACGCGGCAGATAGAGCTCCTCGCTATCCACAAGATCGCGGCTGGACGCATGCAACTCATTGGCGGACTGGGAATTTTGCAGGGCGCGCAAAGAAGGCTCTGGCCAGGCTTTGGTGTTGGTGGTCAACTGGTAAGTCTGCAGGTTAGTAGGCACAGGTAGGCAGGCAGTCACATTTGTGCGAATGTGTGGGCGTGGCAGGCAGTGAGTTGCAGTTAAAGTTGTTTATTGATATTGATTGTGGTTGGTTGATTGGTTGTTGGTTTGTGCGTTAAACAAATGCAAAGAAACGTAAGTAGAAACAAAATGAAAAGTTAAGAGGCAACAACTTAGGGCAAAATAAATTGAGTGTGTTGAAACAAATTGCAATTGAAATGAGGCCAGACCTGTATGTTTACAGAACATCCAATTGTACATATTTATGTATGAACATATATGTATAGACTTGTATATATATACACACACACACACACACACTCAGCAAAACATTATACTTGTATACAGCACACATGCCATTCCCATGCTTCAGTAGTGTCGACGACGCATTAGTCGCTAGGAATTTCTATTTTTATAATGTGCCCCTAGGCCCAATGGCGAAATGTGCAATAACGCAAATGAAATCTTGCAGTGATAGTTAAAGGCGAGATAGAGAGAAGATGGTTCAGAGTTATTAGTTATGGATGAAATATATCTCTATTAAAAACACCATCCCTGCAAAATAGTCTTAAATTAGCAACCTTTCACACATGAAATATTTTGAAACACATACATATAGGTTCATGGGCAATAATAGAACATGTTGAGCAGTATGGGATTCCTGGGGAAGAAGCATTTAAGTCAGGTGAACAAGTTGGCAAACGATTTATATATTAAATGTGTATACTAGATTTGCTTCAACAATTCAAGATTGAGCTGGCTTCATCTAGAGGCACTGACATCAATTATTAATTAATTAATTCATTAATGTTCTGAAAAAATTGTATTGCATGTCATAAATATAGTGCACACCCTTTAGGTCGAATTTAAATAAAGAAAGATTAATCTGCTCTATTGTTTTGCGTCTGTTCTATCATCATATGTAGCGCAATTATGATAAAGCTTGATAGTGTTTTGGAAAGACTGTTTCCTAATTGAAAACCAGCACGTTGGTCATTAAGGAACTCTAAAGTAAAACTCTGATCATATGATAGACCGTAGATATTTGAACAATTATTAAGTTTACATATTATGCATCAGCGCACACCGCACAACTTGTTCCCCATATCAATACTAATCCAACATTGCTCTTACACTACGCATTTCAAATTTTTTTATTGCAGTATTTCGACATTTTTGTTTATCTTTGTCTTGTAACGCTATGTATCCATCAAATCGCGAAGCAAATGCTAAGAATAAAATCGAAAGCGAAACAAACACGCAAGAGGTAATGAAAGCACAATTTTTGTTTTAAGAACTAAAAGAAGCTAAATATGCGATTAGGTTAATGAAAACAATGACGACGCTTTTGTGGTTATATTGTGGCCCAGCTGTAGTTGCTGCTTTTGTGGTTGCTGATGCTGACGATGTAGTTGGTTTTCCTGCTCACGATGATGACGACGAATGCCGACGGGCGGATGGCGAACGGAGGAGGCGGGACGCAGTTGATCAACAAATGTAGATGAGAGTGGAAACAAAAGTTGCGCAAAATTTTCTAAATACTAGAAAACGTTGCCGACGCTTTTCTTTTCGTATTCTACTATGTCTGTATATTACAAGTATAAGAAAAATGGGAGCGGAGCAATTGAGAAGCGGCGGCGAACGGCAATGGCTGCTCATTTAATGCAACGACGCTGATGAAAAATGTGTCGCAGTATATAGAAACAATGAAAAATAGCAATGTGAGTTGCGTTATTGTTGATGAGAGTGAAGAGAATGCAGAATGTGTAGGTGTGTGTGTGCGATGTGTTCTTGTGCTTATTGCCTTTTTACAATTGTTCCTTGTTGTTGTATAAATATTACCTTTATGGCTGTCTGCATGATGACATTTGTGGCATAATTGACGCCCTTTGAGCCCAACTGCAAAACAGCCGAATATCCACGTTCGCGAGCCTGATTCAGATACTCGTCGATCTCCTGCGTTCAAAAGAAAATGAGAGCATATACGTACAAGTATAATAAAAACGTATGTATATATATTCATATACTTATATATATGTATAAATATTGGACACACACCTGTTCACGTCTTGTTAGCATGGGGTGCACAAATTTGCGGTACAAAGTCGAACTGCCCTTTGTGGCCGGCGAGAGTAGCCACAAGACAATAATCACTTTGACTTCATAATAAAATGGAAACCAGGAGAGGAAAATATCCGTGAATGTCTCAATGCATGTGAAGAATGCAAACACAATCCAGTACATCATCCATTTGACCTGTTGAACAGTAAAACAGGATAACATTTTTTGACTTGAACACATTTTAATTGAAAGCTTAAAAGAACCTTCAAGCGGTTTAGTCTGACCAGGTGCATAACAAAGTAATGATATTTTGTATGATACTTACATATTCCTTCACGTTCTTGGTGCGCACCGCCTTGTATGAGGCATAGGCCGGATAGAGTGTGCCAAAAAATAATCTGAAAGCAGGAAATAATAAACTCTGTGCACAAGGACGAGGCGCCAGAAAAATGACGATCAGAAAACAAATGCAAGCCGTATTGAAGGAGAGACGTGGCAGAGGCCAACGCTGCACGAGCTCCAGCAGACGACCCAACGCATTTAGGTTGCGCACAACATTTGCGGCAGTCTCGGGTGGCTGTGGCGGCTCAACCACAAATGGTGCACCATCTAGAGGCACCTCCTCGGAGTAGCTATAGTCGTAGTCATAGTCCGTGTAGTCATCGCTAGCCAGCGAGCTGAGCGATCCGTCCAGATATATCGGTAGGTGCTGCCTTTGCTGCTTGGGATAGACGAATTTGGAGTAGATGGGCACAACATTTGTTGGCTCTGTGTCAAGTGAGTAGCTGCGCTCATAGACGGGCAGCGGTGGCTGACGTATGCGTTTAATATTAGCCGCTGGGCGCAAAAGGCGGCGTTGGTAGAGGAGCTGCTGATGTTGCTCCATGGGTAGCACGTAGCCCGCGCCAGCGGCGTACTCATGATGACGATGCATTGCCCATGCGTTGGTCGCTGGGTCGTGTGCCTGGGCGTACGTCTTTTGTTTTTAGTTGTCTATTGATGTGTGTTCTTGTCGGTCGTACCGCCGAGCGCAGACTGAAGCGCGAGTGCTCGGGGCACGATTCTAATGCTCAGAGACTCAACGGGGGTCTATTAATAAACGTGCTGCTCTATCGAGCGAGTGTAAATTAGACAGAAGTGCTGAGCTATAAATATTAACAACAATATGGACTCAGTTGGCAGTTGGATGCTGCCACTCGACGCTAGCATGCAATCACAACAAAGAGTTCTGCTTGTTGTTTACATTGCACGAACATACGAGTAGACACTAAACATGCATAGGCCTTTTGTTTGGCAATTCAAAATTGTTGAGTCTCTGATGCGTTTGGCGGCAGCGCTCGGTGTCAAGTTGATTTGCCATATTGGGCCAGTCGAGTGCGTCGGCCTCACAATGCCATATTAGGTGCATTTCAATTGAGGCAGCCAACGGTACTTCTGGCGCTGATTAATAAGCAATCACGCACTCGTTCGACGCTCAAGAAATCACGGAACGTCATCAACATCACAATCGACAAGCCAATCCAAACCAAACCAAGCCGAGCCGAGCCTCCCACACGAACTCAACTCACGTTTAGGAAGTAAAATTTCGTCGTACGCGGTTTGCCTTGTCCCGCACACAAGGCTAAGCTTGGGGGTCAGCTTGCTTGTGTGCGAGTTTGGCAATCTGTTCTTATTTTATAGAATACGAGTACATATGTATGTATGTACATATAATATATATACTCACATAACAAGTCGCGAGAATAAGCTGCTGATCATGTTGAAAGCGAATCGTCGTCGACACTATTTTGCTAATTGTTGCACACTTCTATTGTGTGTCCTTTGTTATGCCTCGGTTTCAGGCTGGCACTGACAAGCTGCAGAGGTATTGCGAAAATTCAATTTCAATTACATGTAATTAGCTTTGTGCGAATGTGTGGCGTTTTCGCCCGCCTAGCGCACTCACCTTGATGTGGAAATCTCCTTTATGGAACCGATTTGCTTTTTAGAATTGTATTTATTTGTATTTGTATTATTTGTTAGATTAAAATAAATAAATTTCGGCGTTCATTTTCTTTTTGTTTCCCTGTCTACTGCCTACAACTAGAACGCAAAAGCACCGTGTTGCGCACTCCACTGGAACTCCGTCGTATTTGTGCTAACAATCACATTTAAATTAACTACATTTTTTTGTGCCTTTCATTTAATAAGCCATTAATTTTGCACTTTTTTGTGCATTGCGCGCTAACAATGGTTTTGTTTAACAAAACGCAGACAGAGACAGACGAACAACAACACTGCTAGTGATGCGCAAGCATACGAAAATCGATAGTAGCCTAGGGTTGCCGTCGCCACTACGACAAATCGCATCATTGCCAGCCTTAAAAGTTATTCAAACGCGCCATAGCACAAGCTCTAAAAAAATGGATTGCAGTAATTTTCAGATCTGTTAAAACAACTGCATTTAAATTATTTTTTTTTTTCAATTTTATTCACCAAATAAATATTACACACAAATAAAAGCTTTGTCATGTGGAAAATTGTCATTTTCTGAACACAACTTGGATGAAAACAATAAAAACCGATAATTAAATTTTAGCAACAGCTATTACACGTTGTATATTTTCAATAGGTTATACATTTAATATATGTATGTATTGTAATTAGTGCGCGTAATATACATTAATTAAATAATAAGACGACTTAAAATGCATACAAAAAAGGCGTACTATTACACATACATATACATATAAATAGTGAAAAATAGTCAAAAACATTTTACATACATATGAATATATATATATATAGTTATACATATACAGCATACATTACATAGATATTATTAGTACATATAAATATTTCATATATATAATATTATGTTATTTATAGGTTTCGTTTAAATGCATTTCATTTAGTTTTTGTTTTTAGGTCTAACTTAGGTTGGTAATAATTGTTAATTGTTAGAGATTTACATGCGACTACCCAGCTTAGATGTTTGTTATCCGATTTATGTTTAGGTTTTTGTTGTTAGTTACATTTTGCACACATTTAGTTTAGTTACTTTTATAATTTTTTAAACTAATACTAGAAGAAACATTTTGCAACAATTGTTGAAAAATTCGTTACGCGTGGGGGATTGCGTTCTCTTTTTGCTGCTGCTGCTGTTGTTGTTGTTGTTGTTTATTGTATAATTGTTGTTGATGTCAATTCTACGAAAATACGTTTTTGCGTTCACTTGAGCAGTAAATGAATTTGCGACGCTCCCTTGCAATCACTTAGGACTAAGAAAAATTTCGTTTCGTTATGCACTTATTATCGTTACTCGTTTCTTTGAGAGAACGGCGCGTTTAAAACGACCGTTACAAGTTGTGTGCGGTTGATGTCAATTAAAATCTCAAATTCAATTGCAATTGCAATTTCAATTCATTTGTCAACTGTTGTCTATCTACAAAAGGAAACTGTCGGTTGCAACGTTCAATATTCTTTAAACGGGGTGAGGGAATGTTTATCATCTTTTTTTTTGTTTTTTTTTTTTTTTGGCGAGTGTGAGCATGCTTGTTGTTGCTGTTGTGGGTGGTGGTTGTGGGGGCGTGGCACATGCACTGCATTGATTTGCTTAAAGCTTAACTTTAATCACATGACATATGAGAAGAATAAAAGGTTGAAACGAGCTGAGAGCAAAAGGTTAATGGGGAAAAGTTCAAGACAAAAGAGGTTAAAAGGAAAATTTGGCAGTGGCTACAGTTGCGTTCATCATCATATACATATAGATCGGTTCAGTTATTATGTGTGACAGGTATATATCGAGTATATAAGTATATGTATGTACATCGCCTGGGTAGCTTGCACTATAATGAATATACATGAGTTTGTTATATAATTGAGTTATATAAAGAAGCGGGAAAAGGTTTATACGAAAATCAGAGAAAGTCAAAATATGACGCTCCTCGATGGACAGACACAACACATGTCTACAAATATATAGCGTTTATAGAGTATATAGCTGTTGTTGTGATATATATGTATGTATCTATAGTATATATAGTAGTATATACGAGTATGTGTATATATGTATTATGCATATGGCGCAGTAAAGGGGAGAGCACGAGGTGCACAAAGCACACAAAGTACACGTAGTGGAGAAGTAGAAATGCCTCGAGTGCTAGTAGTAGTAGTAATAGTAGTTGATGACCATAAGCATGATGAGTGCGGGAAGTGTTGGGGTGGGGGATGTTGGGGGGTATTCGACAGCAATCGAATACCCTTGTTGTACTACCAGTGCATCAGACGCAACTGATCGAGTATGCGCTGCTTGAAGAACGTACCGAGCATGCCAAACACCGTGGATACGGCCGCAATGCCCATCATGACCTGCATGATGCAATGTATGCCGGATAGCTCCTCCTCCGTTTGTTTGTGCCGATGCCTCGCCCGATGATGCCGTCGATTGCTGAGGCCGCCGTTCTCATGCAGACGCTGCAGCCGTTCCATATCTTCATCGAAGTGGGGAATGATGGCTAGATTTACCACTTCCGTCTTGGAGAGTAGTTCCTCGTTGGCAATTGTGTGGGCTTCCGTGCCCTTCCCTGTGGCCTCGTTGTGCTCCCGCTCACGTTGCTTCTCCAGCTCCCGCACCCGGGACCGTTCGTCCAACATCGTATTGTCGCGACTAAAGTCAAAGTCCCGGTTCGGCTGAATGCGGGTTGACGTTGGATAGTCTGCGAGATTTACCTTGGTCAGGAAGTGCAGAGTGCTGCTGTCGCCGTGCTGGGGAGGTTGGGCTAGTAGGGAACGTGGAGTTGCCTCCGTGGCCAGTTGCGTGGGCATGTGTTCGCGTACCCGAGTCTCCTGGAACTGGTTCTTCTTGATGCCCAGCACTTCGGACAATGGACGATTAATCATGGGCAGCAGCGAGTCAGAGGTAGGACGTATAATGAAGGAGCCGCCGGGCTGTACATGCGCGGGTGGCTCCACAATCTCAGGCAGTTCCGGTTTCGGAGCTACGTTCTCGGCAGCAGCAGCCGGAGCAGGCTTATCTACAGCACCACTCTCGTACTCGCTATCCGTGTATATGGAATCATCTGCTGAATCATCGGCGGCATTGTCTGGTGGCGTCTTAGCCTGATCAGGCGACTCGCTCTTATTGTTGCCGTTGCCTGCAAATTTGTGCGTCATGTTGCGTATCGGCTCGTATTTGGAGCTCTCCGAATCACCACGGTAAAGCAGGGCCACCTTGCCATCGGGTGTTAGTACGGGAGTTATCTTTGGATGTGGCGACGGAAAACGATGACTGCTCTCTGGATCCGGTGACAAGGCGTCAAAGTCGGTAAAGGTGGACGCCGGCTTCTTTTGCTTGTTGGCTGCCTCAGCTGCCAATTGCTGTTCCTCCTGGGTGGGTGTTTGCTGATACACAATGCCCACTTTTCCCAGTGGCGTCGATATGATTTTGATAGCATCGTTCGTATTCTTCCGGAAATAGTGATTGGAGCCGGCACCGCCCCCACCGCTTTTACGCTGAGAGCCAAAGAAGCCACCACCGGCACCACCAGGACCGCCTCCATCGCCATTGTCAACGTAATCATCATCATCGACGCCGTCATCGTTGTCGTCGCCATCTTCGTCATCGTTAGCAAAATTGCCGCTGCTTTCACGCAGATCAATCGCAGACGCGGACGCAGCTGCCGCTGCCACCTCGCTTTGACTTTCAGTCAGCAATTTTTTGCGTATGTTCTCCAGCTGACTCAAGCGGTAGGCGTTCTCATTCCTGTTGGGTTTAAACCGTGGCTTATAACCACCACCGCTTCCCTCCTCGTTGACGAAATGCTCCTCGTCGGCGCGAGGTCGCGTCGTACGCGGTCGTTCCATCGCTAATCGCTCATCATCCTCATCGTAGCCCATATCTTCCTCTTCGTCGGCAGCCGGCGATACCAAGCCTTTGGGATCAGGCAACTCCTCCGGCTCTTCATCGTCTAGACCGTCCTCGTCGTCATCATCCCCTAGACCATCATCATAAACATCATCATCGTCTTCGTCGTCATAGAGATCAGCGCTTGGATTTAGCTGCATGCGCTCTGAATCCTCTATGGCATAGTCTGTATCGGCATCACCCACATCATCAACGCTAAGATGCTCTGCACTGCCTTCGTCTTCGTCTTCACCTGCACCCGTAACCCCCGTATCCTTCACACTAGTGCTATTCCTATGGCTAATCTGCTTAATGCTATCGTTAATATAACTACTACTACTACTATTCGTTAAGTTTAAATTTAGACTGACGCTAGTTGCTGTTCCTAAATTAACATCTAAGCTGCTATTGCTTCGCTCAAGCAATTGGGTAGTCGCATCTTTCAGTCAGTAGCATTTCTTGGAGCATCCACATTTGCGCACAATCTCCAAGTTCTTGTTGTACCTGCGGTTGTTGCTACACACCATGCGCACCTGAAAGGAGGTGAGGCACGTAAGTAAGGACAATGCTATTGGCCGGGTCACCTTTATCACTTACCTTGCGCCGTCGCACAATCTTGGCAGCGCAGCACTGATTACCGCAACCGCCCACGCACTTGGCGTACTTCAAAGGCTGCCGCGAGCGGCAGTCGTTCTCGGTGTAGTATTCGCGCACTTGCTCCTTGCGACATGTGGCAGTCCCTGTAAGAGATGGCGACCGAAATTAAATGCAATTAGTTTCCAATTGGTTGGCGGTTGTGCTAATGAAATTACAGGCAGCCTCCTCCCAAGTTTCAAGTGACATGTGTAATGTGCGATGTTCGGTGTTTAATGTATGATAGTGTAAGCGTGTGTAAAAGCAAATGATGTTACGCAAGGGCTTTCTATTTTAAGACTCCAACTACAGTTGCAAAGTAATATCTTCAACAAACCGTTTATCTATATCATCTTTGGCGAATGAACTATTTACATATTTTGTATTGAGTGGCCCCTTAAGGACAAAGGTTGTGATGTTGTCGCAGAATCTTGCCATTAAGGATTTCTCTTGAAGTAGATCTCTAATTTGTATACCCTGCACAGTGTCCTGACTTCATTTCTCATGGTTATGAGCAATGGTTAATGGGTCCGTAGTATGTAGTCTTAAAAAAGAAAGTCCACCTTTTCTATTTTGTAACTAATCATCCATGGTCTAATAAAAGGGTACGAAACTGTACTAATTAATTATATCTATAGTCCTTCACACGATGAAACAATAAAAAAGTTAATTGTATGGATATACAAGTATAAATGGAAGCTACTTGGGATCAGAGCTATATATGAACAATCTAATCGAACGCCGTTTTGTTTGTTACAGGTTTCTCGGGCCGCAATTGAAATGCTTGACTTTTGTTTAAGGTCCTTTAGGGTATAAGAAAAACAATAATAATACCCTCCCATGTCATCACAACTACCCACTCTTCCCTTATCTACGAGTTCTGCACTTGAGTAAGCCCCGCCAATGAATGAGAGAGAGCATATGTACCAGTGATTGTTGGGGGCTCTGTGCTGCCCTCACCTTGATCGCAGTATCGGCCACGTTGGCCATGCTTGCACTTGCACTGATACCCATCGCGTGCATTGCCGTTGGGCACACAGCGGCTACCGCGCCGGCACTTGTGTTCCGCGCAAGGATCCACGGGTTCCTGTAAATAAATAAAGTCTCATAGGTCAGTCCCACACTCCAAATTGTAGAGTATGTATTTCGACTTACCTCCTTGATGTGTGGAGTTTCATCCATGAAATCCTGCTCATCATCCTCTTCAGCAGGCTCACCCTCTAACAAGGCACAGCCCGGGGTAATCTTTTGCTGCCGTTGTGCATTGCCGAAGTCAACCAGCTTGTGATTGATCCACACCTCTTTCATGCAGCCCTTGAAGCTGGTCAGATTGCGGATTTGCCAATTCTTATAGGCCTGCTGAGCAGGCTCTACGGGTAAGCCGCCCAGGAACATGGGCGTGCTCAATTTTAGGTAATCATTGGAGCCCTCATTGATGATCGAACGTGCCAGGCCTCGATCCACGCGCAGCGTAAAGTTCTTTTTGATAGCTAGAAGCTCCACGGCATGGTATTTTCCATCAGCTACCATTTCAAAGCTGTACATAGTAGATACGGGATAGTTACCCACGTCGTAGCTAACGCGTATCCGTCCATTGAACAGCTCCACCGCCAGGTGTGCATCCTGACCATCGTACATAAGTATGCCGTTCTGTTCGGCACTACTAAACACTATGGTTACATTGGCCTCTGGCCGTGTCCGCAACGGTTCCATCTCCACGAAGGAATTGTTGTGCACAAAGCTGATGCTGGTCAAGTACTCGCACCACTTGCCCGTGTAGCCAGGATGACACTTGCAGAGGTAGTCCGAGCCTACCGGATTGGGTTGAAAGCATACGCCATGCTTACACTCGTGGTTCTGACATGGCGATGTTTGTGGATACATCATGGATATCATGTTGTGTCCCTCGCAGTACTTTCCGGTAAAGTCATCCGGGCACTTACACACGTAGTCGTTAATGCCATCGATGCAGGTGCCGCCATTCTGGCACATGTGGTTCTGGCAGTCGTCGATGTTGTCCGTGCAGTTAATGCCATGGAAACCAGCCGAGCATTCGCAGCTGTAGTGCGTAAAATGATCCACGCATTTGGCTCCATTCGCGCAAGGATTGAAATCCGGACTGCAGAAGTGGATCTTTGCGTCGCAATACTCGCCAGTGAAGCCAGGCTGGCATTCACAGCGATACGACTCAACACCATCAATGCAAGTCGCATTGTTCTGGCACTTGGTCTCACCCAGACAATCGTCAATGTTCGTCTCACAGCGGGCTCCCGTGTAGCCCGGCGCGCACTGGCAACTAAAGCGACCTTCTTCCAGAACCGTGCAGGTGGCATTGTTGCGACAAGGGTTTCCATAGCAGGCGTCGATCATGAATTCGCAGTGCTTGCCATGATATCCCGGCTGGCACAGACACTGGTACTCGCGCTGTGGCAGCGCCAAGCACTGCGCCTTGTTCTGACATGGCTGCTCGTAGCATGCGTTACACTTAGCCAGGATCTCGTTACGCACCTTGCCCCGACAGGTGAAGCTCAATGATGGCGTCGACAGTATCAGCTTGTCCTTCATGTGCTCTGGCTCTGCACAGCGCGCGATACCCGGCTCCACATAGTCCAGCTTGATCCAATCGGAGAACCATTTCAGTGAACAGTCACAGTACAGTGGATTACTGCCGAGGGCGCTGAGAATGGAAGAACATACGTAGATGGAGTTTACTTATAAACTAATTCATAGGTACATATAAAATATTATCCTTGGATCAGCTGTTTCTTTATTTTTCAGATAATAGGAAATGGGCCGGATGGAATTCTCTTAATTTCAAATGTCAACCACTTAATAAAGATGATAAATGAATTCATCAGTGTATCAGATTGGTCATTTTCAAATGTATAATTTTGGTATTGGTCTTTGGATAAGAATTGTTTTTTTGATTTCCTATTTTTTATGCATTTTTAATACAAAGTTGAGTGATTGCATTAACTATTTCCGTTTCTACCGTGGCTCCTGGCGAAGATTATAATCATACCGGACTGCTCCAATAATACCCGAAAAATTCAAAAGTCGAATCACTTTTTTCTTATCATAAGCACACTACACCGTCGATCAAAGTCTTTTACTTCGCAAAAGTGTACGCTTGGAGTCTGATCAATCCTAAATATACATATGTATGTATATATATTATATAATATTCCCTTAAAAACGAAAGTGCAGATCCATATATCTCTGAAAATTTTGTATGTTGGAGAATTCGTTCGTTTTTTCGAAAGCCAAATTGATTTCGTAAAACGTATTCACGCTATGAAAATCAATCGGAGGAGGCTTTATTAAAACAGAACAAAACATATTGGGTATTTGTTTGCAATGCCTTCAATATTTGTCTAATATAGGAATACGACTTATCACTATGAATGGTAGTCCAGCACGTGATGTTTGATGAGCATACTAACATAACAACAAATTTAACATTTTCCGATTGCACCAATATAATTTCAGAATTGATATTAATTCAACTTTAAATAATATCTATCCAAAATGATATCTATGGCGATTTTAATGAAGGATCTTGAACATTTCTTCCATTTATTTATTTAATTGCGAAATATATATTTTCCCATCATTCTTGTACCACCAAGTTTTTTTACTCATCTAGGGGTTAGGTTCCAAGAATATACATTCTATACGTATTTTCCCATCTTGTTTTTTACTCATCTAGGGGTTAGGTTCCAAGAATATATACCATATATACGATATCGACTGCACCGAATAAGAAACATACTTTCAGAATTGATATTAAATCAAATTTAAATAATATCTATCCATAATGATATTTATTGCGATTTGAATGAAGGAACCTCTATGGATCCTGAACATTTTCTCCTTTTATTTATTTAAGGGTTGTTTAAATGAAATTTCGAAATATCCCATCTTTCTTGTACCACCAAGATTTTGAACTCATCTAGGGTTAAGGTTCCAAGATTACATACTATATACCATAAATTATATGGTATAGAAGAGGGTTAGGGTGACAACGATTGGGAATGTCAATGACTTGTACAACTGTGTTTGCACTTACATGTGTGTCAACGACTTGAGATCCTCGAAGGAGCCTTCCGGCAGCATGGATATGCGATTGCCGTGCAAGGAGAGCACGCGCAAATTGTTTAGACCAGACAACGCATGACGCTGCAGACATTGCAGCTTGTTGTAGGAAATGATGCTGCATAGAAAGAAGAGAAAAAAAAAACATGTACTGATGATGATGAAGAAATGAAAGTAATTGCAAAATGGCAGGCAGCGAGAAAAAAGAAACGGCACAGCTTTGATTGCGGATAGCGCACACACGGCAAGTCCAACAACAACAACAATAACAACAGGAACAGCAACAGCAACAACACCAAGAAGCTATAGCGTTGCCGACTTATGCTTAAACACGAGTCACGACTTTTCGTTTCGAATGAATTTCGTGCCGTAACGCGCATTTGGCCTGCGCCTGCTCTTACGTGTCGTTGGCCACTCGCCCAGACCAGACCAGGCCAGGCCAGAGCAGGCCAGAGCAGAGCAGGCAACATTGCGATTGCCGTAAAATTGTGTCAAGCCTGCCGCTTGACGACCCTTCGATTTTGTTGCATTGCTGTTGCTGTTGTTGTTGCTGTTTTTGCCTTTTTCTTTGCCTTTGCCGTTGCCTCTGCCTCTGCCGCTTATTGCAGTTGGTAATTAAAAAGTCATTAAAACCGTTAGACATGATAGACGTGCTACTTACAGCGTCGATAGCTTGGTCAGATTGGCAAAGGTGTAATTGGACAATATGGTGATTTGGTTGTTGCTGAGATCGCTGTAGGAAATAATAGAAGAATTATTTATGTATTATGGCAAGCCTTTACCCTCCCTTCCTTCCTTCTCTCCCTTTACACTTACAGTCGAGTTAGCGCCCGCAGATGCCTGATGCGCTCGTAGTGTATTTGCTCGATTTCATTGGACTCCAGATACAGCTCGGACGTTTCTGCGGGAATGCCCCGTGGTATTTCCTTCAATTGATTGCGCGAGCAGCGCACCACGGTGCCGGTGCACGTGCAGGATGGAGGACAATAGCCATCGCCCAGGCAGCCCTCGCTGTTCTCGCTGCTGCATTTAAATTCGTTGTGGGGCAGGTCCTTGATTTGCACATCACGTACCTTGGCCGGGGCAGCGCAACGTGCAGAGCCACCGTTCAACGACTTTTTACGTAACCAGTCGGCGAACCAGGCCAAATGACAATTGCAATTGAATGGATTCGAGGCGAGATTTCTGTGTGCGGCCATAAAGTGAGGGTAAATACATGTTGGTTAGGGCTATATATTTCAATTAGTTGTAAGCTTGTCTATATATGTACAACGATGTCTTTCACTACTTTGGGCAACATTCGCTGCCCGCCGTTCCAGCGAAAATTCAGTTGAAATTCAATGTCGATGACGTGCATTAAGCTCAGCATACATTCAATTAAATTTAACCACGACTGAGTAATACAAATGACCCGCCTTAATAGTTCTTTGTACCCTTTACCTAGAGATAAAGAATAATTCTTTGAAGCTTGCAGATGAGATGATGTCTGTCCGCCTGGACACAGTCCGGAAAGTAGTACGGAACCGTTTCACAATTTGTGTATATTTTACAGATTAGTTGCTCTTGAAAAATGAAATACTCTATACCCACAAAAACTTTATCGGCTGCGTTTTAAAGAAGAAGAAAATAACTATAACTGCAACTTGAGAGCGTAGAATTGTCCCGTCCCTAATTCTTATTACGATTAACCAAAGAAATTTAAATAGAGTTCGAATTATCTCAATTTTCCTATGTATTCTGGACAGTATTGACGAACTACTGTCTAGGGATGGGAAGAGGCTGCACTGCACCGCTTTCCGAAATCCAGATACTTATATAGACGAACGGACATGTTTAGATCTTTTTGCCTCAATATGTACGCCAATAATATATATGTATGTATGTATACTTGTTGGCGTCGAAGATGCTGAACGTATCTAGGTATTTTGGACCATTTTGTAATACTCAACGTATTAAGTTCAACCATAAAACAGTACTACTACAGTACTATTTAAGATTGATGATTTGTGATTGCGTTTAGAAAAAAAATTCCAATCGCGATCACAACAAAACAATTGTGAATATTGTATGATTCGTAGATTGCGATTGCTGTTTTCACTGATAGCTGTGTGAGTAGTTCCCAAAAAATATTAAAATCACAGGATTTTTATCAAATAATCATCATAAGCGGTCAGCAGAGACAAATCAACAAACGGCAATCATAAATCATAAATCGCAAATCGCTGAACACGAAGCAATTGAGAGAGAGTTTAAAACAGCAAATGAATTCCTAAATCCTTCATATTTGTTTAAACATTTTTAAAAACGAATGTAAAGAATGTGGTTTTTGGGAATATTTTGCACACACCCAACATGCAATTTTGGGATCTGGCGAAACAATATATGTATACTTGACTGGTTTCCGCATCAGACACTCTGTCTCTCTGTCTGATGAGAAGCGAAACAATGGCACTCAAATTACATCGATGTGCTAAACATGCACCAGATTCCAGACTAATTTAATAAGCAGCATTGCTTTGTCCTGTTATCAGCGTGCATTGTGCAACAGACGAGTCCGGAATGTCGTTGTTGCCCAACCCAACACTGGAACAGATCCACATCTGTCAGTCAGCTTCGATGAAACACCCACCCACCTACCTACACGTAGTTCGTAGTTCGTTGGTCGTTGGTTGTTAGCACCTTTCATTAGGTTTCGTTGATGCTATTTATTAGCTACTTAAATTAATTTTAAAATAATTTTAGAAAGGCATGAACAAAAGACTGCTCTAGACCACAACACCTCGACGCACATATGAAACACTAACGAGCCAGTGCGTACTCGTATATGGTTTTGCGCTCTTTATTGAACTCAATTTTAATTAATTGAATCATCGAAGGCGCACAGACTGCTTCTGAAGCAAACAAACAGAGGAGGTGGGGTAATGAAGCGGCGCTGGGGGTTGATTTACAAGCTCGTGTACAGCAAATGGGCCACACACACATACACACACATACACATGGACGTGGACATGGAGATGGAGGGATGGATGAGGGGCAGACATACAGACGGACAGACAGACAGACAGACAGACAAACGGGCAGGCAGGCAGGCATACAGTAACGGCTGCTGCTGTTATCGCAGCATGCACCAAGGCATGCTATAAATTGGAGTTCAATTGAATTATATACAATAGTTTGCTGTGCTTTTGGTGGCATGAAATGAAAAACTGATTTACTTGAAGATGTGGACGATGAAACCGCTGAAGAAAAGGAAGGAAGAAATGCCTTCTGTTTTGATGTCGAACGAGCATACGAGCACACGATCCGGCGCAGACGAAGTTCAACTAAAGAACAATCAAAACCATTAACCCCATTTTATGTGCTTGATAGGACTGAGAGTAGGGAGGGTAGCTGGCTGCAGCAAGCCAGGCAATTAATGCTTAAGCTAAATCATTTATCTATTGAAGTGAATGAATGAGTGAATGAATGATGATGCCCTGGCACAGTTCTAATTGTTATGCAGCAGCACTTCTTAGTACTGCGTATACTACTTGTATACACGTACTAGTACCTATTGAAGATATACTTACAAAGACGTCAGCGAGTTGAGATGTTCGAATGAACCGGGCATAACGCATGAAATTTGATTGTCGTAAAGATTGCTGCAACGCAAGGTATTAACGAATTAGTTTAGCTGGGGCTTTGGGCGATGTCGTCTTACTTACAGAGTCTTGAGTTGATGCAATCCGAGGAACATCTTGTTCGATATCTCCTTAATCTTGTTCTCACCCAACTGCAAGTCCTGTATGCGTGAGGCGCCTTCGAAAGCATTGGGCTCTATTCCCGTTAGCTGATTCCGCTTCATTTCCAACTTAACCAGGTGGGGCAATCGCCCGAAGAGCCCATCCGAGTTAATTCGGCCCAGCTCGTTGTCATTCAGCAGACTAAGAAAGGGTAAAGAGGACGTGTTAGGTATGCTTTAAGGCTGGCAGGAACGAGTATGGTTCACTCCACTTACAGCTCTGTGGTATGCAACGGAATGTCCCGTGGAATTTCCTTGAGGCCGCGGCCCGCACAATCGACTGTCGTTCCCTCGCAATGGCACATGGATGGGCATTCGGTGTCCATGCGACATTCGCCGGAGAGTTTCATACGCAGCTCATCCCACGAACCTGATGGGTGGTTGGAGATAGAGGGTGCGGGTCGTAAACTAAGACATATTTTGCTGTTGTCCTGCTCGTACTTACATTTAAATTTCTCATCGCGCAACGATTCAATGCGCCGGCGATGCATCCGCTTGGGTGACTCACAGCGTGCTCCACTTGTCTCTATGGGATTTTTGTGCAAATAGTCGGCCAGCCAGCGCAGATTGCAGTCACAAATGAAAGGATTCTTGGCCAAATGTCTATGTGTGCGTAGTAAATGGAAAGAAAGCAAGAAAGTAGCATTGAGCCTGCAGTTGAAAGCATGTAGATGGCACAAGCGGCGACTTGAGACGTCTTAAAAGTGCAGGAACCGCCTCAGCCTGTGCATTGTGGTTGACAATGTTTTTGTTATTGTTTGCAAACTATTTAAAAGCCCTGAATAGAGTTGTCGCCTCTACGGCACCAATGCGTTCAATATGCCAGCATATTCCAAAGTTTTTTATAAAGAGGATAGAATTTTACAAAATATCGTGGTGCCTGAGAACTAAAGTTTGGTCAATGTGGGCTTTGCCATTTCCGGAAGCAAGGCGTTCATGCAGACGGACCGATTGATAGGTCAATTTGTCTTGTGATGCTGAATAATAATACTTGAGCCGATCGGAGATGCTGCCTTCTGTCTGTTATATAATTTTCAGAAACATATTTTTAGTTTGCGGCTAAAGGATATACAAATTGAAGCCATTCAAGGGTCTTCAAATATTACTCATTGGACTGCATGTTATTTATTTATAGTTCGAAAGTCTATTTCGCGCATGAGATCAATTTTTAAATTCCAATACATTTTTATGAATCACCCCTGTTGCCTAGATTTATAGATGTAAAGCTATTTGTATTGTTAATGCAGTTTGTTAAAGGTGTTGCCAATAATTTCTTTCATAACTCAACTTTGGAGGAATCTCGTATATGCTACACTGAAAGATCGTTTTTAAATTTTTATACCGGGTTTAAAATCTTGTATCGTGAATTTAAGCCATGCTTGGGAACCCTGCCAGGTAAATACTATCTTAATACCGTCAATTTCTTGAAAAACATCTCCACATCACTTAAAGGCCGCCGGTCGCACATTTATCGACGTCAATGGAGTCCAGCAGAGCGCTTTTCATGATTTCTCTTCATCTTTTGTTCACATGCCCTTTTACGGTTCACAGCCGATATACTCGTAGAAGAAATAAACCCACAATTGCTTACTGCCTGCCGTTGTTGCTACTACTGCTAAACAAATGTCACCGCGGTACGGCGACGACGACAACAACAACAAAACCAACAACACAGGGAGTAGAGTCAAAGCAACTACTAAATGCACTTCAGAGGTTTAACACCTAAGTGCCTGCTCCATTGAAGTTGTCGCTTGGAAGGCAGGCCAAGCAGGCATGTTGGAGTCTGCCTTACACACTCTCAAGTGCGAGGGGGGCGTGGAAAGTGGGGCGGGGCATGTACTTACAGCGTTTGTATGCTCTTCATAGCGTCGAATGTGCCATTAGCCAGCGACTGGATATTGTTGTCGTAGAGCGATAGCAGACTGAGGTTATGCAGGTCGCGAAAGGCATCCTTGCGTATGCACGAGATCTCGTTGGCATTCAACAGCAGCAACTGCAGCGAGGTGAGTCCTTTGAATACGCCCGAGGGTAAATCCTTTATTTTATTGCCATACAGAACACTGCAAATGCAAAAGAAAAACAGAGCCCATGGGCCGAGAAACGAATGTTAAAAAACGACAAACGACCCAAAACAAAGTGCTCAACGTTGGCGTTGTTTGTACTCGTTGCTGTTCGTGTTCTGTTTGTGGGCTTGTGGCCAATAGCTGTAAATGCGATGCGGCGGAGGCGGCGGCGATGGCGGCATTAACTGGTTTGGCACACACTTATTCACTCACTCATTTGCAGAAGAGTTGCGGCAGTTTGTCCCTGGTTCTAGTTCCAGAAGGCGGCTATTGGAATAAACTAAATGGCCTGGAACCAGCAGGATTGTTGGAGGTGCGGTTGAAATCAATTAAGATCATTCTTAACAGGCGAACACATTAGATTCAGGAGATCGAAATACTTCATAACCTCGTTGCTATCATTTAATGAGCTGTTTTATGGAAATCTTTTCTCTCGTTTAAAAGGTCTTATGACCGAGACATAGTTTTCTAAACTAAGAAGAAGTTTTAAGCATTCACTTTTAAATAAATTGAAATAAAAGAGTCAAGAAAATTCATACATATACTATGTACTAGTATTATCAAAGCTTTTGTCTAATATGTGTCGAATATCTTCATGTGTTAAAAAGACAAGTTCGCTAAAAAGGAACCGTTGCTATCAGTGGTTCAACTGTTTTAGAGCAATGTGTTCTCTCGCTGGAAGGTCTCAGGATTGAGACTTTTTTCTAAACTAATCAGCAGTTTTAAGCATTTACTTGTAAATAAATTGAAATAAGTAGTAGTATTATCAAAGTTTTTGTCTGATGTGTCACACATGAAGAGGATGTGTGAAAAAGACTAGTTCGCTAAAAAGGAACCTGATTCGACAACTCTAATGTGCACACTTGGCCTGTGGCAGCCTTTGCTCATGTGTGAGTGTGAGAAAGGGGTGGAGGAGGCAGGGACAGAGGTAAGCTGATGCCTTGCGGTGTTGCCAACGCTTAACGTAGGCCGATTAGCAACACAAGTTACGTTGCGGGCTGTCCAGGCCCGTAGACCTGCCGCCAGGTAAAGTCACTCAGTCCGTCACTCAACTGACTGCACATTTTGTTGCCCAGCAGCCGCAACAGAAGTGGCACCAAAGGCAGCCACATGGCTGCCGCCCTTTTCGACGCCCTACTTGTTGCTGCCCGCAGGGCTGCTGCTACTCGATGTTACACACATCTATATAGTATATATATGTACATATATATGTATGTATATGTGCTATATGTATTCATAGATACCTGTACTTGAAGCTACTTACAGTGTGGTTAGCTGCTTTAAGCCGCTCAGTGCGTCGTGGGCTATACGCGAAATGTTGTTGTTGGACAGATCAATGCGTCGCAGTCGTCGAAAGTTTGAAAATGATTTCGGTGGCAGCTCTGTAATAAAGTTCTGCTCGAGGCGTCTGCAGAGCGGGAAGAACACAAGATGTGAGTAAATCTATATGACACGCCTCTCATTAAACTAAACTAGGAGCACTACTTACAGCTCTGTGGTGTCGTCGGGCAGCGTGCTGGGCACACTGGTTAGGCTCTTCTCACGACAATCAACAATACCATCGGCGCAGCGGCATGGGTGTGGGCAACTGTTCTCCACGCCGCATTCCATGGGCGCATGCTCGGTCAGGCCTGCAAAAGTGTGGAGTGTGGATTATGTAGCAAGCAGCATGCAGCATGTGGCAAGTGCAGGAGTCGACGCGTCAGTCGGTAGCTGAAGTAACGAGGCTATGGCTCTGATTTTACACAGCCACACGGCCTTTGTAGAAAATGATCCAAGGCAACAACTGAAGCACAAGCTGCGCCATCAACAGATGCCGCTGGTCATAAATGTTTACCCACATAATTTCATAGCATTTGGCATAAAACGAAAGTCAAACAAGCACCAAGCACCAAGCAGCTAAGCTCCAACAACTCCAACTCCAATTGCAGCTTCTGCTCGTTAATATACCCTTTCCGAATCCGTCTTACTGGTTTCACCCGACATTTGTAACCTAAGGATCTCACTTAACAACTACTCTCTTCACCTGGTCCGAATAAGGGCAGCCTTTCCAAACTGTCATTCTCCAAGATTAAAAGAAATCCTTTTTATTTGAGCAGTAGTTTAGAGTGTCCAAATTGTCTATTGCCTTTTCAAAACTACGCGGAAATGTGGGAAAATAAATATTTTTCACATTACTAGCTCTTTACAAACTCTTTGAAACGATTTTGTTCCGATTTCATCTATAGAGCTAAGCTCGTCATCATTGAGTGAGTTCCCGACCCAAATTGGTTGTCTGGTTTCTTGTAGTCGTCTTAGTTCAAATGTCGTCTTAAATCAAACGACTCTTCAAACAAACTTCGTAATAGCCCTTCTTTCAAGATGAAGTGTAGTATTTCTGAAATCTTAAACACACAAGCTTACCAACCATTAATCGAAATCGTTTGGAATTATCAACAGTCGGAGTTAGCAAGGGTATTTGGAGTTCGCCTGTGGAAATCTCATCGCTTTCTACTTACGAGCATTTCAGAGTTTCGCTTAGCGCGCATTTTCCGCTTCAATGCGCGCTCACTTCATGCTTTCAATCGGTTGGCCCGCAGCGCTAAGCATCTGCATGCGATGCAAACAGCAACTACAACAATAGCAACAACAATGGATACAGCAATAATAACAACAACATCGATGGCGTTAAACGTTTTGGCAAACACACGCCGCGCTGCCCCAACTGCTTCGCTTGTTGTAGTTGCTGCTGTTGCTTGTGGGCGGCAGGCACTGTTGGGGGCGTGTCACATGACTGCTTATGATTTACAATGCTTTGTTTGGGTCCCTGACCGCATGGCATATAAAACTAATTAATTTCGTGTAGCGCAGTGTAGATGTTGCCTGATGCATTAACTAGGATCGCTGGCAGAGTCTTTTGGGCCAGGCCTCTAGCTATTTAGCCATTTGCCAATTTTGGCGTTGCCTACAACTCATATTATAGCCCCACATAGTCAACACGTAGTCATAGCCATACCTGAACATTTGAACTCTTGATCGTGCAGGTCCGCCACGTTTTGGCCCTTAAGCTGCGACGGCGACTGGCAGCGCGTGTACGGAGCAAGGCGCGGCGCGTTGCGTAGGAAGCGAGACAGCCAGGATAAATGGCAATCACACGCGAACGGATTGTCGGAGAGGCGCAGCGCGCGAAGCCTGTTCAAGCCGCTGAAGGCATTGTGCGGCAGAGCGGTCAAATTGTTGTTATTCAGCGTGCTGCAGGGGAGAGATGAGAAAAGAGGGGGATGGGCATGTAAGTACACTTCGCAAAAAATTCTCACATGTCGCATCATGATTTTAAATATTATGGAAATTAATGACCTAAAAAAAGGTTAATTTCTATGTTAATTCATTTCCAGCGATTTCGAAACGTTACTATAGCACGAGCTTATTGCCAACAGAATTGGAGGGTAGCATAAAACCCTTTTATATACAAGTACCTGTAAATCGGAGCACCTATACACTCATTTAGCCATTTCATTTAATTTTCAGATTTTTCTAGCTAGAAACTATTTTATTACAATTGAGCACTTTAAAAAAAAGGTATATGTATGTATGTTCAATATCTTAATAAACACAAGAGTTATTTTAATAAGAGTGATTTTCACGATGACCGATGTTATGGAAGCTAGATGAAAAATGTAAGCTATATGATTTGTATATGATTTGTAATAAACTTGATCTGTTTAATAATTTAAACTTTTCGGTCTTTATATGGACACCCATGGCGTTATTAACTCGTCTATGGCTAGACGATCGATCGTTCATATATGAACCTATAACATGGGATCTGTCCTGGCTCCAAATATGTAGCCCGCACTATTTATTAAAACTCTTAAAATATCTTCATTGATTAATATCGAAGCAGTGCAAAAAGTCCTTTTCTGGAATATCCTTCAGAACGTTCTTCCATTGTGGTCTTTTCAACTTATTAAATAGCCAGAAATAAGATTTACGTAACACAACAGTTCTTTTAAAAGTGTGTTGATTAATCCACTAGAAATGTCTCTAGTTGTTATTCGACGATTTTGGAGCACTTTCTCATGGATTTGCTTAACTTCTTCTTTGCCAGATGACGTTCTTGGTCGTGTGTATGTGGTTCGTCATTAACGTTTTACCTCTTCTTAATCAAAAACCTTCTGCAACATTTTTTATGTTTCCAATGTATCCCTATCGTAACACCCGTTCGATTTCAGAGTAATATTTGCTTGGGTCCTGACTCTTTTTACTTAGTATACAACTTTTTTAATACATACTATAAATAATTATTGGAATATTTTTTCTCTGCATGTAGTGGAGCTTTGTTTGCCATTTGTACTTACAGTATTTCCAGCTCAGTAAGACCCTTGAAGGCATGCTCATCCATACATGTGATTTGATTGTTGTCCAATTGCAGGCTGCGCAAGGATTGGGCGCCCTTGAAGACGCGTCTGCCCACCGTCGAGATGGCATTGTGCGAGATGTCTCTGCAATGGGGTTGTGTGTTAGTGGCTGGGTTCCAATTCTTGGCATCAGCTACAGCTACTTAGCTACTTTGTCTACTTACAATCGCAAAAGACTCGCTGAACTTGTCACAAAGTTTTCAGGTATTGCCTTTAGTCGATTGTTGTTTAGGCGTCTGATAAAGTCAAATGTTTTTTGTGTGTTTTTGTTGGTTGTGTACGAGCATATTAGAGGAACAGTGTTTGAAACGAAACGCAAAAGAGATATGCATAAAACGAAACGAGAAAAAGATACAAAGTTAAACGCAAAAATCAAATGCAGCTAGAATACGAAATCAAGTTGTGTTTTTTTTTTTTTTTTTTGCAGGCTAGCTAGCTATAAATCTAAACTTGTTGATAAAGAGCAGTAAAATCTTGTTAGTACAAAGTGAGTTAGTTATAAATTGTTCATGCACTAGAATGAGGCACGCAAGTCATTCGATTGGCTGCAGTGGAACCTGTACTTACAATCGCTCGAGAGAAACCAAATCCTGCAGGGCATTCTTCTCTATGGTGTGTATTTGGTTATCCGTGAGTTGCCTGCGCAATGGGAGAGAAAATATTGATAGAGTATGAAACTTTAAGCTCAAAGAAGAGGCAAATATTTGATGACTTTATATGCAGTACTCGTAAGATTGATCTGAAACCAATTTTCTCTTTCTAAATTTCAAATATTAACTACAGTATGTATTTACTAAAAGGTTTTTTTGGAGAAATAATTATTAATTATCTCAGTTAGATTAGTCTACAATAGAGACAAACACATAAATGGTTATAGCTGGATTTTTTAGTTGTATGTATGTAGTGGGAGAGAAAATATAGATAGAGTGTGAAGCTTTAAACTCAAAGAGAAGTTTATATGTAATATGTAGTAGTAGTAAGATTGATCTGAGACCAAGTTTGTCTTTCTAAATTCTAAATACAGTTAAAACTCTCTTGGCCTAACACTCACGGTTAGCCAATTTTTGTCCGCCCAAGGGGAGTGTCTACTTAAGGGGATACTTAAATACTTTATACACCGATCGAATGTTTTAGAAAAAGTGTCCGCCGAAGAGAGTGTCCGGATAAAAGAGGTGTCCATTAAGGGAGTTTTCACTGTATTAACTAATGAGTTTTTTGGGGAAATAATTATTAATTCTCTTTAGGTTAGTCTAGAAGAGACAAACACAAATGGTCATAACTGCTTTTTTATTTGTATGCATAATTCATATCATTTCATGTTCATCACGGTCTGAAATAGTTCGGTTATATTGGTTGGTTTTATCATAAACATTCATAGTTTATCGAACAGTTCATAGTGTCTCCAATCTTTAACACATTGTCACCATTTTATGAATCGTTTATCAATGCGCAACAACCTGAAACCTCAAACTTGTAGCCCACATACCATGTACGGGGAAGCAGACGAGTCATTAACAAAGTTATAGCTCGACTCCATATTTCCCAGGTTTATACTTACAGCATGCGCAACTTGGTCAAGCGCTGGAAATCCGTCTCATATATCACCGTTAAGTTATTGCCCTGCAAATCGCTGCAAAGAAATAATAAACAGATAAGAGTTAACTGATTAGGAATGGCAGTTTGTACATAATTATGTTGCAACCCAAGTAGCTGCTAATCAAGACCATGTGTGCAGCGATAACTTTTTTAATTGCATGTAAGACAAGCAACAACAACAACAACTACCAGCAACAACCATGCGCAATCCTAAAGATACGCGTCTACAAATGATGCGCATGCGCATGTGCAGCTGTAGGATGAGGCCCAAAGGTGGATGTTGATGTTTCTGTTGTTGCTGTTGAAACGCAGCCTTTTGTCTGATAACAAAAAATATGATATTAAATCATACAAGATGCCAGCAACCCGGCAGGCAGGCACAAGGGTACAGGCAGGAAGAACTCGTTTCGTGGCGCAGACAGTCAGTCGCACAGTCCGAATGGGAAGGAGAGAGAGATGCACACACAGAAATGCACAGAAAATTTGTTACCTGTATATGTCATAACAATGAAATGCAACGTTAAAGATACAATGAAATGAACGAGTGGCAAGAAGAGTGCCCAAGTGAGCGAGCAATCGACCGTGTGCGCATGCGTAGCGTGCACGTCCACAACGACAACAAAGCAGCAGCAGCACCAACAACAACAACAACAACAACTAAGCTTCTTTGAGTAAGGTTGGCAGTCAACAGGTAGAGTAGTACAGTAAAAATTGGTTAAACGGTTTTGGTTTCGGTTCTTTTTAGTTTCATTCAAAATGTAAAAAGTCTGTTGCGATGTGTTTTGGCGATTTAGGGAAGAATTCAATTTGATCTTAAAAAATAATTAACTTACAATATAAAATGTTCGAAATATTAAATAATCTATTAAATTAAACTCTACATTTTATAAACCTATAATAAGTATGGTTATTAAATTTGAAAAATTCAAAATGAAAATTGAATGTTTTTATGACTAGTGCATTAATTTATACGAATTTTTCTTGTCGCACTAGACAATAATAATAATAAAATAAACACAATCGAATTCGCGTAAGAGTCTAAGCACCGTTAAAATATAATCGTTCTTATTCTGGGGTTTAATTAAAAATTCGCACAAACTTTGTGTCAAAAAATTAGTTTATCATTTAATGGTGTGGCGGAAGAATACAATACAATACAATAAAAAATAATTTAAACTAATCTTAAAAATGCGCTCACGTCACTTAAGCTAAAGTTGGGCATATTAATTAGGGGAAGTTGTTTCCAACATTCCAATCGTACATACATTCAGAGATTTATTTGTTTATAGTTAGTTTGCAAAAGAAAGAAAAAACAATATAAACATAAAATAATAATAACAGCAAAACTTAAAAATATACAAAAAAATTTAATATATTACTGAGTAGTGGAGTAAGATAGGATTAGAGATTGTCTGAATCAAGGTGCAGGTATGTTAATGAAATAGTCTTAATGAAGTGTACGAAGAATATGTTGTCAGCAAAAAAGATTATAATTGGAGCACAACGAAAAGGTTGATGTAAGGCAAAGTAAGATCTACAAATTGGCCATCGATTGGTAGAAATGCACAAATAAATCTCAAGAGAACTGCCAAGTCCACGAGACCAAGAAGGAAAAGGAAGTCTATATCATCGACAAGAAGTTTGTGAAGGAGGGCGACTCCTGAATTCTACGGTGATGTAGTAAAAAGTTAGATCTATTAATGTTAGTCTAGATCTATAAGGTGGCAAGCGACTGTGCGGGTCCCAATTTAGACTCCAAAGGGCAAATAATAAGAATGGTTTTTGGACAGATTCACGCGATAGCGACTATATACTATATATACAAGTACATTTAACTCTACCTTTCATTGAAAAGTGTCCTGTTTCAATCGCTAATTCACAGCTCTTGTCTTATGCACAATAAATCGAGAGAATAAAACTTTTAGTTATTTGTGTGAACAACTTGTCTGCTCTTCTAAATAATTTCATAGTTTGTGGGTTGCGAATACGGATGGAAAAAAGAGGAACAAGTATAAAGTGAGATGTATTGCATGAATTGGAAGTACATTTAATTCCTCTTAAGCGATTTTTACTGTACGAAATGCTGAACTGCTGCCAATAAGGCCTTCAGCTGCCGCGTCTAGACTTTAGAGATATTTCCAGCTTAAGCCTTAATGAATCTCGCATCGCATCGAGTTGCCAGTTTGCCAGTCTCTGTAGTCTCCGTCTGCGCTGATGTTGGCTTGGGTCCGGGCAACCTTTAGTTTCGTAAATATGTATGTACATATGTATGTAGTATGCAGTAGGTATGTGTATCTACACATAAAGACACCATATAATATTTGTAATGAACTTTAGGTATACTATACATATATTTATGGTCGAGCGATGTGGGCATCTCTTAGATTTAACTGATTACATCGGGCATTCGAACATTTGATACGACACTGCGTCAAATTTTAAACAAAAGTTTTTAATTGCCTGGCATTTTTCAAGCTGCCTCTGCCATCAAAACGGCTTTAAGCATAATTTGTATAATTTTTGTTCATTTCTGTTGTTCGTGTGTTATAATTAAACATTTAACTTCATTAAATCATGGCACACAGCATACGAAAATTTGGCTAAGCTTTTCGTTGTTCGTCTTTTGTTGTTTTTGGCCAATTAGATTTCGGCTTGAGCAGCTCTCTGCTGGGTGTTTGCTTCGTTGCTGGCTTTGATGTGTGGTGTGTTTGTGTGTGTGTGTGTGTGTGTTTGTGTATTTGTGTGTGTGGCACCAGCAGCTGCTTAGAGTTGCTGGCAGCTATAAATTAGGCTCACCTTTGCCTTTACTTCTTCTTCATCATCATCTGGCTTTGCAAAAAGGCAAAAGTTGTGAGAGGGCGTGTTGCTTGTTTAGGTTGGGTTTGGCTTAGGTGCGAAAAGGGTTAGGTTGGGTTAGGCCAGGCTAGGTTAGGTTAACTGGGGGCGCTCGGGTTCACAAATTACAATATATGCAAAAATGTTGTCGTGTCAATTGAATTTACTGTGTGGGTGGCCAGTAGCCACCTTCCTGTCCTGTCCTGTCCGGTCCCGTCACGTTCCCCTCCTCCTCCGTTCTGTGTGTAATTAAATGGCAACCAGGGGCTAGGCACAATTTGTGCTCTCTAGTTTACATGGCATTGTATTGTTGTTGTAGCTGTTTAAGCATGTCTGCCAATAGCTAAATATTTGATGTAATAGTTTGCAATGAAACAGGGTGTCGCAGAGCATGCTTTCATCACAAGCACGTTGACGAATGAAATTTATAGCCAATAATTAATAATTTATTCTGTTTTGAAGCAGACTCCTCAAATTGTTCCCCAACGAACATAAATTATAAGCAAATAAGACTTATACAAGAGAAAGTTTCTCGCCGTGTGGTAAGAATATTTGCCTATTACTGCATTCAGGTCTCATGACTAGTGCGTTTATACTCGTATTTATTCATTAGAAGATAAATTATAAATTTCGGTTTAAACGGAATCTATATACATATGTATATGTATATAGACATGATCTTTTGGTTGATGATTGAAATATCTGTGAGCTGGCACAGCAATACATGTTCCATGGCACATATTCACCTTTCTATAAGTGTATTCGTTGAATTATGTTCATGTTTCTCATAACTATATAGATGCTGTACAGATTTATTTGGTTTACTGCTGAAAAACAGCATCAATTCAAAAGAAAAACTACTCACGCGTCAACATGTCGACTGGAGGCTTTTGAAAGCCTTGGCAGAAGTTTTCCATCCTATTTCCCTTTCCCCAAAGATTTCTAAGAAAATTTATTGGCTAAACAACGTCAAAAATATGACACACGTACACTATAAAACTTAACGGAATAAATTGCAAAATTCTATAGCGGGGAAAGAGGGAACAAATAAAAAAATTAAATAACGCCTGGAGTTTACTTGCCGTTTCCGAAATCTAGGCACTCATCCAGACATGCTGATTAAGATGCTGGGTTGGAGGTGCTTCCTGCCTGTTATACTTTGCACAGAAATAATATACCTTTTTATTTTAAATGAATGCTTTGGTAATGTTTGTAAACAGAAATTCTAAATCCGTAAATCATCGATTTCAAAAAGGAAAGCCCGAAATAACCCATATCAGTGTACCAAAGTGATTCAATTAACCTACCTACCTTCAATTAAGTTAATTGTTTGAGTGCCATAGATATCTCTTTTGGGTTTTCAACTAACAACGACCTTTTTCCGCATAAAAAAAATCATTGGAATATAAACGTTATAGATTTTCTGAACAATCTGTATCAAAAATATTTTGCAGATCTAATATAAATATTATTTAATAACAAAATTAATAAATAGTTAAAATACTAGGATTCACACACAGCATCCAAAACAACAATAGAGAGGCCCACTGGGCCCAAATAGAAAATACAACAACTGTGTATTAATTTAACAAACTTGGCCAAATTGTGTGTCGCTGAGTGTTCGGGTCCGTTGATACAAATGTAGTGCATAACAGGGCTGTCACTTGAATTGCATAGCTTTACGGAAAATAACTTTAAAGTTTATGTTGATGATTTTATAAATTAGTAATGCGAGTGACGTTTAATTCTTTAAAAAATTATTTAATAAATTTTTAGGTATGTAGCTATTTTACTAAAATTGTGAACAAGAAAAGAAAAATAAATATGAAAATATGTGCGCTGGCAACCCTATTGAGTCTGTTAAACTACTTCATAGTCAGTCAGCTGTTGCTAACAGCAGGCTTGAAGGGCAAATTTGAAAACATGAAATCTTTCGAAGTTCTGTGGCACCCCATTTAGACATCTCTACTTCAATTGTGCGAATCCTGAAAGGCTTAAATGATTTCCGTTTCTGATCAAATTTTCTTGTTTAAATTTCCTAGCAATTCTGAAGCACCCTACGATGCAGTTTGGCCCACCACTGGCGAGTCGCTGTTCTTTGCAGACCCGAAGTTGGTCGGCCCGGCCTGTTCTGTCTGTCTGTTCTGTGTATTTGTGGTCGTGGCTATTTTAAAATGCAAATATGCCATGCATGTTGATATGGTTTTTTGTTTGTTCATTTTTATTTTCATTTTTCGCTTTTGCATAAAAACAAATGTGTCCCTGAGCGCTATTTGACTGTTCAAGCGTTTCGCGTTGCTGCCGACTACTTATAACTGGGCTATGCTGTTGTTGTTGTTATTGTTGCTGTTGTACTATAGTCATTGCCGCTGATATCTGTTATTAATTTATGTAGAAAAACTGCAGTCGCATTTTGCATACACTTGCTAATTGCCAGCGCGTTAATTTATGGGGCGACGGTGGTTGTGGATGTGAATGTGAACGTGAACGACGCTCCGCTTAATGCATTTTGGTGCCGCTCGCCACATGCATACTGCGAGTATATGCAACACCAACAGCAACAACATGCAACAATTGCCCAAGTGGTTGACGTGATGCACTTATGGGGCTTGGTTGCCTCCTTCGGCGACAATTAATAAACTTAATGGCGATTTAATGTACGCATGCATCAAGAGGGACACTAGAGATGGACATCGGATAAAGCAATTCGCGGATTCTTTTTAAGTTTCTTTCGACCGTCTTGGTACTCACGCTATCTTTCTCAATTAATGACTAGGCTTACTTCTTTTATGAGGCAAATTTTGTTTAACCAGGGATTGTAATCATTATAATTGTTATCATATAAATGACAAAATAATGATCATTTTTAATGATTCTCTCACAATATGTATAATGATTAAGTTTGAGTTATACTTTAGAACTAGCCAATCATTATTTTTGAGACTCATAATATAGTATAATAATTATTCCTTGAATTTTATTTTCAAAAGTAAAAGTAAGTTGAAATTTTATTAAATGTGTCGCACGCGTAAGTATTTGTATTCCGTGGAGATTTTTTAATTTTCATGCTGGCGTTTTTTTCGCTCAAATTAATCTTATAAAAATCAAATTAAACTGATTTGGCTCACTGACGAAGAATATACATATGTATATAAATTTAGCCCATCTTCCCTCTGAAAAAGTCAAGATTAAAACTTGAGCTTTATCTTTGAGAAACAAAATTTCCATCATTGTATCATCCGTTTTTTTCTTTTCTTTTCTTGAAAATAACGATTATTGATTGAGTTGTAAAATATTATTTAAAATTAATCATTTTATTGCAAGAGAATCAATAAAAATTAAAAATTCTTGAATCATTGTGAATATGCATAATGCAGAATATTGGTATATTTATCGCTCAGACAAAGTAACTTGGGGCCTGGCATAGCTCAACGAGCTAAAATGAATCCCATAAAATTACTTGCGGTGTTAACAATTCTGTAAGAGTGGTCTCATATCTACTAAATGTCAATTTGTCGTGTTAAAGCCTAATCTGCGGGCCAATTCCGCAGCAAAAACAAAAAGTTACTTTAAATAAATGATTTTTCCGAAGAAAATTTTTTTTAAGATCATGCTTTTTCGGTGCATGTTTTTTACTATACCGCTTCGTTCTACGGCAGAAGATGAAAAATGAAGTTTTCGTAGAATCCTTACTATTCAAAATGGTTTGAGACAATTTATATTACTTTAACATATTAAACTAACAAAAAGAAAATTTATAATAAACAAATTCTTGTTTACGAGGGCAAGCAAGTTTAGGTTTAATCATTCTATTTCTATATCCTGTATCCAAAAAGTAAATGGCATACTACTTGGTTTAATTTTAAAACGGTGTGTACAAAAATTCGATTCAGCAAATAAAATTTCTCAATGTATTCGAAGTCATAATTTGATTAATTTATAGGTTTTTTAGTTTGTACTTTTTAAAAATTCCATACTCGATATTCCCCACTCATGATAATGACGCGCTCACGCGTCCTTCCCTAACGGCACAAACTGAGATTAAGCGAAGACATTGTTTGCATTTGCCATTTGTTTGTCGCTATCGATAGGCCATGACATGCCGTGGGTTTTATTTGCCTGGTGCCGTGCTTGTTGTTGTTGCTGTTATTGTTATTGTTGCTCTTGCATTTGGCTGCAGTAGTTTAATGTTTTTTCTATTATTTAAATAAATATGCACACCATGTCAGCCGTCTGCCGCCTGCCGGCTGGCGCTATTGTTTTTGCTTGGCTGCCTGGCTGGCAGCCTGGTCTCCCTGATTGTTATTGCTGCTATTATTGGAATTGGTATTGGTATTGTTTTTGTTGCTACTTACAGTCTCTCCACATCTGCGGATATCTTGCGCGGCACCTGCGTCAGTCCGCGATGCGAACAGTCGACAGTTAATCCACTGCACGCACAAACGCGAGGACAACGTGCCTCGGTGATGACTCCCACGCCCCCGCCTGGTATGTGGATGCCCACAGATCCGAGACCGCTGGCCATGCCACCACTTCCGAAACCGGCATACGGCTCAGCCCTGACTGCAGTGCCATATAGCAGCAGCAGTAGTAATGACAGTCCTGCTGCTCTTCCTCCCCCTTTACAACGAGCCGGTGGTTGCAGGGTTGTCGTCAACGTCGACATCGCCTCCATTGTGGCACATTTAAAAGCAACGTGCCTAATTGAAAGTATCGGTGGACGCCACTTTGTCAACAGCAATCACGTTTAAATAAATATTTGTGAGACAAAAGGATTGAGGACGACCGGATCCCGGTCGCTCCGCGTTTCTCGTTTTCGTTCGCGCCTCTCGTCACTCTTTGTTTTCGCTTCGTACCCGCTTTCCGTTCTCCGTTGCAGCCGTCACTCCCGCGCGCTACCTTGCAACTGACAGCTGCCCGCGTCCAGAGCGAAACCAGCGAGTGGCAACTAACAGTAACGAGCAGCAGCAACCGTATGCACGTTACTCTGGTAGGTAGTTGAGCGCCTTGCTGCCTAGGTAGGTAGCTGAGTTGCAGCGCCAGTCGAGTTGTCTGGCGGAAATGCGTTTTTCCCTCTTGCTTTCCTCCGGCTTCGTATCGCGCTCTCTTCGAGATGCACTTTGCTGTCAGCAGTTACCGGCGATTGGGCAGCAACTTCATCATTGTCGGCAACATCATCATCATGCTCTGTGCTGACGTCTGTGACCTGCTGTGCGCATCTGAAATGGAAAACAGAAAACAGTTGAGGGAAAATCATGAAAAATTATCTATAAATTCGGCAAGCGTGACTATGAATTTGGCAGGAAATTGTTAGTGCAGCGATACGAGCATACACGTATGCAATGGTGCTTTATTTCACTTAACCTGCCAACTGGGGTTGATTACTCGAATAATGAATTTGTAGCAAGGATATATCCTGCCCTGATCCAACGAGCCTAATGAAATTCAAAGACTCGCTTAAGTGAATGCAGAGTACATAGCTTTAATAAAAGTGTACTATATCTTATCACTAACTTGAAATATGAAGTCTTTGCTCAATAACGACTTGACAACAATCAAATTCAGGTGTTCCATCGACCTATTCATAGCTATACTTCTTCCTATCGAAGTGTGTCATTTGAATTAATTTCCGCTGGTTTAAGGGTCCAATTACTTGTATTTTCAAAATGAACAAAAAGTTACTCCAAATGTTAAATATTTATCATTAAAAGATTAGTCTTATTAAAAATGAAAATATTTTTAACGAAAAAATCTTAAAGCAGCTTTATATAAAATAGAAGAACCATTTAGTGGCATTGGCATATAATCTAATTATAAGCCGGTTCGTGCTAAGATTTTTTACTTGCTTGCACATCCATGCTGCTAGCATATGCGAATCGTTCTTGACGTTTTTCTATGGCTAAACAATTTATAGGTTCAGTTTCTTCAGATTTGCTGTCATTTGATTTTCAAATAATAATTCGATATCCATGCCTTTCTCTTCAACAACTCTTGCACACCATTGATATTCAGGTCGTACAATCCTCCACCTTCACATAGTATACTGTCTTATTGTGATAATTTGTGCTTTTAAGCAACCGTTGGTCATAATTTCTCAAATTATCCATTCAAGGGTTCCCCCTTAAGCTCTTTTAGAGATAAATTGCAAACAATTAGAGGCAATTGGAAATTTCTTTCCAGCACTGATTACATCGATGGAGTCAGTTGTATCCGAAATCCTGAGTATAGAGCGCCTGATATACAGGTAGAAGTATGTTTTGAATGTGCATATTATATCGTAATCCATGGCTTATATTAATCCAGATGGCTTATGGATGGATTCCTGCGTCATACTCTAACAACAAAATTGAGTTAAACTATTACTATTCTTTACAAAAATGTTCGACTTCATATTGAATCTTCTTCAAGTAAATCATATTAATCTGAGTTCGTATAAAAAGAGGTCGTTTTAAGCGAGGGCTAGATGAAAATCATATTTGTCTTCAGAACTTGTTTTTAGGGTTGCAACATATTTGGGAAGCCCTCTGATTTTTATATGATATTAATGTACAAGTATATAGAAACGAACATAAATTGATATATTTATATCCCATTTCAGTAGTAATTACGTCAATTTCAAATAAATCAGTGGTCTGTTAGGAGGGCAGCATGATTCAGTAGGAACTACCCTAGGCCAGCCCCACAGCTACATACATACATATGTATATTGTATTTCCATGTTTAGCGGGAAGCTCTGTGTGGTCGCACTTGTCACTCTGCCCTGTTCCATTTTCCACTCTTCATTTTCCACGACTGCGTCCTAGCCTGTCTGTCATGTTATTTAATTTGCAAATTGACATGTTAAAGACACACTCCATATTTCTACAAGCATACGCGTGAGTGGTGTGTATGTGTGTGTGTGTGTAAATCGATGCGATATATTAAAATTAATTGTTTAAATTAACATTTGGATAGCTGTGACAGGCAGCGATTGACTCGCCGCCGAGTCGCTGATAACAAGCGAGTTTCGGCTTCTATATCGGGTAGCTAAAGTAATCAGCTGCCTGTCAAATTTACTTAACTGGCAATCAACAAAACTCAATGAACGTTGGCGGGAAATGTAATTTAACGTTCTCTAAAAGTATTTTCTGTATTTATGGATGACGATGCACATATACGCTATATATACATATGTATATATGTATTTGTATTTATAAATATGTACATATATGTCATATATACATATTTATATATAAAAGAGCCTATCAAAAGCATGCCAAGCCCAACCCAGCCCAGCCAGCCTAGCCCAGCACAGGCCCTTTAATCAAAAATTTATCATTTTTACCAAAAAGCAAAAGCACAAAAATATTTTGCTGCAAAGGCATGCCTTTCACATGACGGAAGCGTGTGCGGGAGTGAAAGATCTGAGGGAGAAGGGTTGGAGGTGGGGAAGTGGAAAACGCTCAAAAGATGTAATCACTGCATTGTCACCAGCCGGCAGGCACTGACTAGGCGACGTTCTAGGGTGGAGGGCGACGAAGGGCGGGCGGATAGCATCGTGCGGCTTATATATGAAACATAAATCAGTGAAATTCTATACATGCCACTGATTGTCTACTCTTTGCTTGAGAAGAGCTTGTGTGTCGTCCGTCCTTCTGTAAGTGTGTGCATACGAGTGTATGTGTATGTACATGTATGTGTGTGTGTGTGTGTGCTGCAAAAATTCCAAAGCAAATTCAATGCATGCCAATAACTCGTTCTTGTGCTGTTGAGCGGCAGGCACGTCGTCGGCAGAGGCCAAGGAGGAGGCAACTGTAGCTAAAACTTGTCCGTAATGAAAGGCAAAAGACGCTGACGATGATGAGCTCCGGCATCAGGCAGTAACCAACAGTGCCAATCCAACACCCACAAGATACTACCAGATGCTGTCGCCTGGTTTGATTAAGATAACGCGTGAGGAAGAGAGTGACATTTGGACAAACAGAAAACCATAGCGCGCTCACTTACTATTCAAATAGTTGATAGAATGTCAGTCAGACAGACAGACATGCAGTCGGATAGGCAGTCAGTCATCAGCCAGCAGCCAGCTTGGCACACATTGCCAGCGAGTGTGTTGTCTGCAGATTAATGACGCGACATATACACACGGACAGTGGCAGGGACGGGAATGGGGTTGAGGATTGAAAGAATCCGCCACTAAGTATTGGTCTGCTAGCCGACTTGAAACAATAGATTTATGGAAACAAACCGCTGCGGCGTCGAAGCTGCGACAGCAATCTAAGTGTCTGCGTGTGTGTGTGTGTGTGTTGTGGCACTGGCCCGTGGGCCTTTGTGGATTTTCCAATAAATTACGCTTAAGTATGCACTTAATTCAAATAAAGCGCAAAGAAGTCGCGACTGTGGAAGTAGAGGCTTGTGCCTAGCCATTTTTATACACGATGCCCTACAGCATCCAAGTAATTTGTTTTTTGTGGCTTTTATTGTAGGCATCCGCGTGCGTTGGTTTATGGCAGTTATGTGTTTGCCGTTGCCCATGACATGTGTCAAAATTGTGGCTGTAACTTGTCGCGCTCTTCACATGACCGCAAGATAAAAGTGTCAGTATACACACACCTACATGCATACAAACGTATGTTTGTGTGTGTGTGTGTGTGTGCACATCTTTCAACTTTATCCTCGGGCTGATTGATACATACGGCGTAGGGATTGTGTTCTTTGGCATTAAAGTTGAAAGGGAAGGCAATTATGTTTAATACTACATTATTTTTAAGACGATGGGCATAGCTAACAAAACGAACGAGTAGAAAATTAAAGTAAAAATAAACCTTGTCTTAACTATCATTTTGAATAAGTAGACTATCAGTGTAAAAGAAGTTACAATACTTATAGAGTTACTCTCTCACAAACAAAAACATATCGTACCAAGAGTGATTTTTTTACCATTCGCTGTTATTGAAGCTAAGTATATAAAATAATGTTTTATATTTATATATATACGATATATATATACGATATATATATATATTTAACATGGCTCCTTCCGTCTGTTACATATGCACATTGGGTGTTTAGACATTCTAGTTTACTGTTTGGGTACAGAGTATGAAAAGGTAAGTTTTTGTGTTTTCATAATTCACTGAGGTAAAACATTCGAGTTCCATTTTAAAAAGCAACAGATATAGGAATCGGTGCTCGCTGAGAGGTGGAAACAAAACATACGGGACTCATCAATATACTCAAATTTATGAAGTATGTAATTTGATAATTTACTAAAAGGTGCTAAAGTTTTTTTTGTTTTTGAATATTCATTTTCATAGAATAGAATAGCATGATAGCGGAAGTATAGAAGACATCAAATAATGTAACTCTTTTCGATAGCCCAGGACATCATTAAACCAATACATATATTCAAAATACACTTTAGTCGTCCTGTTGCTGAATCAAAGCAAAAGACGCAGCTAAAACTCAATGGGCTTGAAGTTACAAAAATAAATAATAATAAACGCAGCTTAGATACTTACTAAGTATATGGGGGAAAACGGCGTAATTTAAGTGGTTAAAACATTTCATGGAAAACTATTGCCTCGCCCCAGCCCAAGGTTCCAGTTTCTTCAGGACCACTCCTGGCAACACTACCCCGCTGTTAAGACCAGAAACCCATGAAACCCACTGAACTTATCTCCTTAAGTATTAATACTGTTTCAGGTAGAACAATGATTAAATTGAAGAATTAGATTGCTTAATTCACATTTAGTTATTTAATTTACCTTAATAAAAAGCCATTTATGAAGTTTGAAAATTTCTTAATGCTATCACAGCCTGAATATATGAACCTTGTTTAGAATATTTAACGTATATTTTAAAGAGATATCATACCGGGACCGTAGAGGTAAAGCATGCAAGTTTAAACATGTAATTATTTAGCTAGGTATACATATGTATGTATATAGTAGATAAATATTAATGTATGTGTGTATATGGTTCATTAGTCATACATACTGAACAATTTACGCACTGCGATGGACAATAAATCTAGCAAGCTGCATTCCCAGCTCGTGCTCTTGCATTTCCTTCAGTTCTTTAGACACAGCCGTCACATTCCCATCCCCCACCACATCAATTTACGCTCTGTTTCGTTCCTACGTGTACATACATACGTCACAAATGTTGTACGGCAGTGATAATAAACCCTTTTCTGTGTGCGTGTGTGTGTGTTCGTTTGTATGTAGTGAAAAAAGGG